AACTGCTGCATTGTCTCTTTATATCCATCCTACGTGCATTTCTATTCTAGTGTAATACGAAGTGAGGATATAGAGTATGCAAGAACACGTTCACTTTTTTAGTAAAACCTTCTATTATTTTTCTCAGCTCCCACGTCACTGGAGGGATCAGAGGAGGGGGTGGTGAACTGTTGCTATGGCAACATAACACAGATACACAGTGAAAGAACTTTCATTCAAAAGTGCCTCAGGGCATTTCCTGATATTCAGTATTCCTGTGGATGTCAAGACTAGAGATGATGTTTTTGATTACGAACAATAACCCCTTAAATAACGTGCAGCGTGTTGGCTGCTATACTCACCTACATACGCATCCTGTTTCAAATGTGTTGCACAGCTTAAAATCAGTCTTTATCAGTTCAGTGAAACTGCAATAAAGCATTGCAATGGAGATGCTTTTTAAAAACTCATTTAGTTGAAAAGAAACATCTTCATGTATTAGATGAACTTGTTGGGCTGCGTTTACACTGCAAGTCTTAATGCACAGGTCTAATGTTTTGATCCGATTTTTGGTCCACCCTGTTTACATTCACTTTAGACTAGGGGTGTAAATCAGACAGTTCATCACGATACGATATGATATCGATTCTCTCAGCCAGCGATACGATGCCGATATCAATATAGCCCTGAATCAAATCAAATGAGGTATCGCGATACCTCAGAAAAATTCTGCTATACGATTTGATTTGATTCAGGGCTATATTGATTGATTTATCGATATTTAGATCGGCATATTATGTGCCAGGTTTACACAACCAGTTACATTTTTATCAACTTACAAATGTAACCAAAATATATAACATTAACTTTTTATTAAACTCTTTGCAAATGGGCTCTATGCACGGCGGTATTTCCGGTGAAGGTCTAAGGATGCTGGATTACTTCCGCCGATCGTAGAGTCCAATGCTATACCGAGAATTTATATTGGTTTTTATACTCTATTGCTATACTAAAGAAACGTTAGTCACAAAAACAGACAAAACAGACACTCCTCATTTTGTTTATGCTTCTGTGTTTATTATATTAAATAAACATAACTATATATAAAATTACATCTAAACGTATTAAAGTTTCGTTTCAAAGACGAGAGGACAGTAAATTTTGAAGACTCTGCCATAATACCGTTTTCCTCGGTTTTCCTCCGCTTTAAATCTCCCCAACCGGAAACGCACGAGCATCCTTGCGTCAAACACGGAAGTTATGCGTGCATATAGCCCATTGCAACCAAGGGGGTAATCCATCGACCGGAAGTTGAAGCCGGCCGGGTGCCGCCATGTTGTAGCAGAACTTCACTTGCGTTAGCATTTCCATTGACTCCCATTCATTTTTGCGTCACTTTGACAGTGAATAACTTTACATCTGAGGCGTTTAAAGACTCCATTTGTCCATTATTTATTTCTAAAGAAACACGACAATGTATAAAGGGCTCCATTACCTTCTATGTTACACTATGGCCCCGTAGAAACAGATTTAGTAAAAATAGGCTAACGATTGCGTCATAACCACTCGACTCTCTGTCGCGCTGTACAGAAATTACCGTACAGACAGGAGGAGAAGCTCGCAGGCAATCGGGGGGACGTCCCGTCAAGGGAGAAGCCCATAGATAATGAGTCCATAAAAGCAACGGAATTCTTACTCCTGCTCACTCACGCCAAAGAACTCTTTGCTCAAGTTCCCCGTCTCTGCAAGATTAACGTTGGCAGTTTTCACGCACAGCTACTAGAAGATTAACGTCTGTCAGACAGGTTGCTCACGTCATCAAGCTTAGTTTGAGTCGGTCTGAGTCTGCGCGTCAGGAACGGAAGTTCTCAAAAATCGCTAAAAGTGGGCTTCAACTGTCTCAACTGAGTTCCAATGAGATCGCTCTGTCCATTTCTTTTACTGTCTATGATTGCAACTCGTACAGCGCTGCCCACAAGGCTATACGCTGATTTCACGCAGCTGCCATTTTGAAATCGCTCCGGTGTGAAGAAAACCGGAAGTGTCACCTTTAATAGGAGAGTCGCGAATGCGATGGCATATTGTTGTGTTTAATGTAGAAATTAGTTATTCTAAAAATGTACATACATTTCTTTCATATTTTAGACTATATACAGTGAAATTCATTTATAAATAAAATAATTATTTTATATATAATTCAGAACGTAAAAAAAGAAGCAGGAACGAACTATATACATATCCTATATTGGATATTAACATCCAATAGTGTAAATCGCGGCAGCAGCTTCAGGTTGGTAGTCCAAGGCACTGTTGTCTATCTGTACTTCCGGGGTTCTTCCCACCGGAGCCTCGCTTTCGATTTCAAAATGGCGGCTGCGTGAAATCAGCGTATTGCTCCTACATAAGCACTTATTTTTATCAGTTCTTTTGTCTTTGGGCCATTATATTTCTCACAGATTTCTGCTCGTTCTAAATCAGACACAGATAAAGCAGCACAGTAAAGATATAGGCCTATTCATGATCTTTTATATAACACATTTAGTATAATAGAGTAGGCTATAAACACATTTATGTATGCATTAATGTGCAGCGTCTCTCTACTAATAGTGAAGCTGTGGGTTTTAGCTACTAAGAAAAATATGCTAGAACTTTTCAGTTTTTAAGCAATGTTGACAATACATTTCTGTGCTACTGAATGTTTCTGTGTGCGCACGATCTTCATGTGATGTGTGAGCTACTGTCTGTACATGTTACAATGCAGCAACACATTAGTTTATATCGGCGATCAACTTGAATGTACAATAAGCTGTTTAAAATGTGCATTCGCACGATCAATTTTGAGCATCCAGATAGTATAATCAAACATATCTTGTGGAGCGCTCTCGAAGTATGCATTTATTTGTCATTTTAACTGTCGGAAACGGAGCGTAAAAGTGGACTACAAAGATTTCTTATCATGTTGCGTCCTCCATGATCAGTGGCTAGTCGACATCCAGCTTAAAGTCGACTAGTCTGTGCAACTCCTAATATGTATCTGATTTAAAACACATTTGGAAGTGGCTCAAAATTGATGCGAAAAATCGCCTCTTGTGCGGATTTTTGTGTTCACATGCATGCAACAGGCACTTTATGTGAAACCTGCCAGCCACTGAGCCCATATGGTGTAGAACAGACTTGGTACGATTTCATGCAGCTGCAAGAAAGAATAATCTATAGATTCTTTTTGGTTTATATTTTCAGTTCAGTTCCTTTAAAACACAAATATAACACAGAATATTTTGCATTTATGGCATGAAAAGTCAAGAAAAATCACTTATCAATGCCAGATTGTGTAGGTGTCAAGCTACATGGAAACACATTTCCAGAACGGTTTATTAATGGAAATTCCCTGAAGATGTAAGCAGACAAGATGTACCCATTAGTGTTCATATCTGTGGTAGACGCAAATGTCAAACAGTTTCATCCTGAGGAAAGGTTTCTCACCGCGACTTAATTTACAGTTGATATCCACAACTTGTGGCATAATCTCCACCTCCACACTCCCCATCATCTTTACATCCCTATCCACCTCCTCCTCCTCCTCCTCATCATTTGCCTGCATCCTCTTGTTATCAAAATATGGCATGTGTTTTCTGAAACCCCCCCCCACCATGAGCACAGTCACCCCCCCCCCCCCCCCCCCCCCCCCCTTTACATGGCTGGTTGCTAGGCAACAAATATTCTGCGGGAGCGTGCGATTGGCAAAAGCCCTCGATTTCTATGGTGAGAACATAGGCGATAGAATAGAGCTCTCCAGAACACAATCCACGGCATGGTGAGGTGCAATGTATGCAACCACATGCATAAATCCAAAAAACCTGGGAAAAGCCATTTTATAGTACCATTCAGCCTTAAACTTGCATGCTGTTCAATAAAATTCAGAAAGAATATTAATTTGAAGATAATCTAATACATCATTGCATCAGCATAGTGACCTACATTGTTTGTCCAGCACTTTACACTAACAGTGATAACTGTGACATGATGAAAATATGAGTTCATTCTATATATTTCAAAAGAAAAACTTAAGTGTATCAAATGTTTTTGTTCCAGAGATCACAAAAACATTACCGGTGCTCCCTTTTAGTGTCTTGTCTGCCAAAGTAAATTTGTTTCATTAGATTTTTTATTACATAAGAGCCATGTGTGACTTTTTTCTCCTCTCTTTAAAAAAAAGAAAGAAAAAAGAAAAACGGATTTTAATCACCATCATTTGCTTCTGATCATAAAGCTAGGGATACTTTGTCATTTCATTACCACTCACTGCCAGGTTGAGTCTGGTTTCCAGGGAAACTAAAAATCAGAAGCTTTCAGTACTCGCAGCCAAAGTGAAATCCAAGGACCACCATCCACTGAGATTCTTCTGGAAAACAAACCATCTACAGTCTGCCTCTTATTTCGAGCACCTACAAGAGGAGCTTGGAGTGTGAAGACATGCTTTGGCTGTGAAATCTTTAAAAATATGGATACCGCTTTTGATCTGTCGTGCAGTTGAGGTATGTGTTGTTGGGGTGTTTTTCAATAACTGTCTGATTGTGTGTCGTCGTAGTTTTGGTTTTAGAATGTACTGTTACCGAGCAAGTTCTCAGACAGCTATGACATTATTGGATCTCTCTTTTTTAGGAATAGAAAAAGGAATCGACTTATTGACAACTGATACTATTCTTCCTTTCTTAAGTATTATAAGGCTGAAGTTTGTATGCAATTTTATGTAATAATAATTTCAAGAACAGAAATTATGATTTTTGTCAGTGTCTGAGATCATTGCTAATAATATGATTTGATATGAATTTCATCTAATGTAATGTTTTCAAATAAAACCATTAATCCATGTCAAGTGCCATTTTTTTTTATAATTGCACCAACATTAATGCACTAATGCATTTATGTAAATGTTTTCCAGCAAAAACCATCAGTGGTGAGAGACCGTGAAGCATTTTCCTGCCCCTCTCTCGGATCAACACAAACTCATCTCTAAACCCATGGAGGGTCCTGTTCTGACAGAAAGTGAAGTTTGGAAAGTTGGCTCAGGGACCAGCTCAAGTTTAAACACGGATGACCGAAGTATTGACTATTCGCCCCTTATGAATGACACCGTAACTGACGAAAACCTGTCAAAAGCATCTGAAATCCCAGGGACCTCAATCCAAGAGCAGATCTGCGGCAGCATCCAGGAACAACCCGACCCAGAGGTTACATCAGATCAGATCAAGTCAGTAATTCCACATGAGCAGCGATTAGAAGAAGATTTACCTTCCACTCAAACAGCAGTAGAGTGCAATAAGGCACCTCCTGAGTCAGCGTGCAAACAAGAGAGGTGTGTCGACCGAGCAGAGGAACCAGCAGATAAGATATGCTTGGCGCTTGGTCGACAAAACCTTGACCAGGAGATTAACCAGGAGATCACCATACTGGTGACCAATCATGACTGTATATTTGAGGATGAGGAGGATGAGGAGTTTGGGGAGCAGAAGACTTCCAGCTGCCCTACTGAACCCGAGACTGTCTCTTCCGTTGAGGGTGGAGGAGTGACTGAGGAAGAGAGTCTCGATGGTTCCATCGTGGTGGTGAACATGATTGATGTCAGTCAAGTTCAGAAGACCAGCGTGATAACTAACGCATCAACTGAGCAGAATACCACCAATGAAGAACCAAGATTGCCTGGAGATCCTGGGGATAGTAGCAATGAGACAAACTCTGGGAGAAAAGGTTCAAGCACCCCTCAGGAAACAGACACAAGTAGCACACATGCTAACACAAGGGCCTCAGTGGAAGTGAATGTCTGCAGTCTGGAAGATCAGCCCACACAGCCTAAAGGCGTAGAAGTAAAACTGGAGAAAATCGAATTGACTGACTCCAGGAATGCCGTACGGCCCGCGCAAGAGACGCTTGGCGTGACTCGGTCACCTGGACGCGCCCAGCATGTGCAAACCCAGGTCAGTCTGGAAGTGATGTACCAATCAGTGGCCACCAGCCCCATGACTCCTCCCGAGGGCTCTGCAGCGTTCATTTTTCCAAGCACCTTTGGAAAACTCGCCAACAAGTGTAGTACAGAGGTGTCCCAGACCAAAGATGCAGAGTTGCAGGTGGGCTTGCAGGTGGAAGTCCGTTCAGTTGCCACAGCTCCCATGAGCCCGATTACTCTGACCGCACCTGAGGTTATTCCAGAGCCGGAACCACGGATTGGGGTGGTGCCAGAGGAAGCCCCAGAGCCCGTGCCGGAGGTGAGCTGGGACGAAAAGGGAATGACTTGGGAGGTGTATGGTGCAGTGGTGGAGGTGGCAGTGCTGGGTACGGCTATCCAGAAACACCTGGAGAAACAGGTAAAGAAGCAAAACAAACAACCTTCGGCCTTGCCTGCTCCGACAGATGATCTGCCAGCGGATCTGACCGAAACATCTACACCGATGCCTTCCAGTCCTCCCCCCATGCCAGACCCCGGTGAAAGCAGCCCTGCCAAAGAACAAAGAGAGGAAAAGACGGTGAAGAGCGGCAGGCGTCGACAGAATCCTTTTCGCCAGTGGTTCAGGAACGTCCGGCGACCAAGTTGTTGTTCAAGACCACGTCAAGATGAGGAAAACTAAGAAAGGCATGAAAGTCGAAATCATCTTGAGACAATCTCTCCCAGCTTTGTACACTTTGGCCGTGCACAGGATTGGGTTTAGTTCGATAATACACCCCTTTACCATTCTTAAGACATTTAAAAATGACACTGCGCCACCACAAGTCCCAGTATGGATAATCAACATTTTTGGTTTAGTTTGATACACTGCAAACAATTACAGTCGTCTTGATTTGTCCTCGCACTTTGACTTTAAAATGGCTCCTTCCAGCTTATGTTGCTATGAGTGTATATTTGCTTGCTTCTGTCAAGACCATGCTACCCTGATGTTGTTGTGGTCAGTGAGGATCACTTTTAAAGTGCCCTTTTACAATATTTTACACAAACAATTTTACCTTTAAAATTTATATATTTCAAACATGATGTATATGAATTCACCATGTATATTTAAGGAGTGGTAGAATACATTTATAGAGTGACAGTACCAAGTACTGTGTGTTAGACAAAAATTACCCTAGAAATTCTTGGTGTTTCTGGCAACATGTAATAGATGACGTCTCTGATTTTTTGACTGAAATGTTTGGTGTTCTTTATGGGTTTCAGATTCTTCTTTTTCTATTGGCTTTTGTATAACCCTGTAATATTAAATGGATTTGTCTTGTTTTTGCAGGTCACCTCAGCACTCGTAACAAACACACCTTCAAGCCTTACATTCTGTGTGATGTTTTGTGACTGTTGTGAGAGCTGTGAAGTGAACAGTTTTGAAAATAAATAATCTCTACAAGGGAAAAGCAAACACTTGATTTTGTCTCTCATTTTGATAACATGATCAATTTTATTTGAATAAAATAGCAAAATAATAATAATAATAATAATTTTTGAACATAACAATACACCAAAGATAGACAGTTTACGATATATACACCCTGGACACCAATCTGGCTTAGCAAGATATGATTTCTTTTTGTTTGTTTTGATCAGACCTAAACTAAGCAGGCTAGTGCCAGGTAATATTTGGCAGAGAACACAAGCAGTTTTATACTTCATAAGTTTATGTTTTTGTTCAGAGACAGAAAATTATATAAAAATTTGAAAGAGTTCCATTCTTCTGTAAAACAAAACTTTGTACACAGTATGAAGGATTAGGTATTGGAGATCAGACTTCAATATGAAAAAAGAATAGAAAATGATGACAAAAATAATGAAAGGTAAAATTAGGCTGAATTTGAATTACCACTTGTTTTTAGTGCATTGAGAATGGTTCTTTTCCAAACATTTATTTTTTTCCCCCCGACCAACTCAACATTTCAAAGTGCATTGTTGATTCAGCATTCAAAGTCATGGGTTAACTTTAAAGGTCTGGTTTAGAGTTAGAGTTTGGCCAAACATAGAATATAGTGTGAAATTGAGTCTTTTCTCCTTTTTGGCAGAACCACATATAAAATGGCAGACAGGAGGAGGTCAGAGGTTGATAGTTAGAGATCAGTGGTGTTTATGGAAGGGTTTGTAAAAGTGAGACCAGGGCTGTCTGCACGTCTCTTCTTCTCTCGCTGGGCCAATGCAGCGCCCAAAGGCTCAATGTATGAAGAATCACTCCTGTTGTCATCCTCCTCCTCCTCTTCTTCTTCCTCAATTACCTATCGCACAACAGAAAACATAAGCACTCAAAAACATACATAACCAAAAAGCTTATAAAGACTTCAAATGCACTTGTGTCCCCAGCATTTACACCCTTGCACCATAAGTAAATATGCTTGAAATACTGTGGAATCCAAAAGTCTGAATGCAATCACATTGAAAATCTGATTTAAATATCTTCAGGGTTTTGTGATCCAAATGATCAAATTCATGTTAATTAATTGCTTCACTTATATGTTGTTTTTCACCAGTGGCCTCAGACTTTTGCACCCCACTGTATATTATATTCATTTTAATAATACATTTACCATCATTGGCATAGTGTCTTTCTCTGCCATGGTCATATCAATGTTGTAGTCCAGGGAATTAAGGCTAAAACAGAAACAGACACAACATACACACATAATCAGAATCTCACAAAGCAAATCTTCTGCATTGAGTCATAAGTGACATTATGGGGGAACGTTACCAGTAGAGACATTTTGGACCAGTTATGTAGCTTGAAAGAATATTTAAAAACATGCTTCATTTAGCATGTGGAATAGCTTAGTGTGATTCTGAGAAATATGGGGTCACCAATATCACCACATCATCTAACTATAACTATTGCTATAAAACGAATAATCTACTATTGCCCACATATCAATACATGCAGATGTTCATCTGTCATGGAGGACCACAGTATTGTTTCTAGACAATTGGCATATCTTAAAATGATTTTGTAGATGCAGTAAGGTGGGCTTCCATGACAAGATAAATATGCATGCAAACACTTCCAGTGTAGGTCAGTGTCTTTCATCTTTTACAGCAGAGTCAGTTTTTGAATATCCAATCTGGCATCATATTGTCCTGGGCTGAGTTTCCCAAAAGCATCGTAAGCCTGAGAAGTTCGTAAAAACGATCGTACGACTCATCTTAATATTACCGTCTGTTTCCCAAAAGCATCGACACTTAAGTAGCACTTGAAAATCATCGTAGATCTTATTGAGAATAATCGTAAATCCCCAAGTGCATCATAGGAAGACAAAGTTATGAGGTCACCTGCAGGACAACCGGCAGATAACACATTTAACTTTATTCAAGGGTAATGTGATTATAATATAAGGTTTTGATTGTACTTCATTGTGCACTTTATTACTCGTTTTTTGTTTAATTGAATTTATAAATAAAATCATTAAAAAGGGGAGAAAACAACAACAAAAAAGAAATAATTTAATCTAATAATTTTAATTTAAATTAAATGAATGAACAAAAAAATAAAATAAAAGATGTAATATGCTTCAAAGACTAGGGACATATAGGGATGAACTAAAAAAATATGTCAATGACTTGCAGACGTGCACGAAAACCAGCCATGTAGCCTATTTCTTGGTTGGCCATCATGTGGTCCCATACCATCTTTGTCCTTCTCCTCCTCCACCACCTCTTCATCTTCCTCCCTGTTAAGTAAGGACACTCTCATATGTCCTGACTACAACAACAAACATTCTCAAATGATCATGTTCTCAACATTCTCAAACTGCTGAGATGTTGTGTCTGCAGTCTGGACAACTAAAGATGGAGGCTGAGGCCTGGGAGGGTTGTTTGGAGGACTAGGAGATGGTAGGTGCTGGGAGATGGCAGATGAAACTGATAGTTCCTCTGAGCATGAAGGACCTGACTCAGGCTGAGGTTGAGTACCCCTACTACTCCATGCATGCCAATACCACCACAAATGCCATCTGAAGCACTTGTGCCAAGTAGTGACAAGGCCTTTTCTTCCTCTGCTGTAAGAAGGGGGGAATCATTGGTCCCACCACCTGTTTTATTAAATGTTGTCCTCTGCAGTGGCCTTTTCCTTTTAGCAAGGCTGGCAAAGTCTTGCCACTTCTTCCCGACCTCCTTCCCTGATCTTTAAATGCCACTAGTTGCAGTTGGTTTTGTAGCAATATCTTCCCAGATTTTTTGATTCGGTTGATTTGTATGACTGCCCTTAAACCTGCTGAAAATAATATGTTTGTATAGCTCCACCTCCACTAAAATAACATTAATCTCCTCTTTTTGAAAAATGTATTTTTTTTTTTGGTTCAGCCATTTTGCTGGTGTCTCCACCCGTAGGTTTGTGCTTTTATAGATTATTGGGCTAATTAAATTACGGTAGGCTAATTAGGCTAAACATTTCAAAATACAATCGTGTGCTACAATTACGAGCCATTCTACAAGGTGACATTTCAGCACTTGACATACGGACAGCGACTCTTAAGTATCACTTCTTAAAGCACAGCTGCGTGCGATCGTGCTAAGTGCGTTTTTGTGAAACTATAACTTTTGTGATAAATGAACACGAAACGTTCGTAAAGTCGCTCGTAGAAAATGCTCTGAGTGCTAAGATCCATCTTTTTCTGGAAACACAGCCCAGATCATTTCAGACCAGGCGTGCATAAGATCATATTTTAACTGTTACTGTCCAATATAAATATATGAAATCACAAACTTCCTTGAGAGACCAGACAAATATGATATATTACGTAACTAATACACTGAAAAAAACAATAAGTAGCCTACAATTTATAAAATTTTCTTTTAAAGGTTTTTGCACGCATATTTTTAAAGTGAATTTCACATATGGAATACTTAGTTAAGTAAAATTAACAAAGAAAATAAGTAACTTTAATGTGACCAGATAAAGTAATTTTCTACTTGGTTGAAGTTTACGCTGCAATATTCTGTTTCAAATACATTTTTCTCAAACAATATAACACTGAATTAAGCCATGCTTTTAAAGTGTATGCTTTACTTAGAACATCTAAGTAAATAATACAGTATATATTGTGTAGACAACATATCTACATAATAGAAGTAATGTGGTACGCATCCGAACAAGGATGTATTCATTTGATCAAAAGTGACAGTGAATTCAATTATAATGTTATGAAAGATTTCTATTTAAATATAAATGCTGTTCTTTTATTCATCAAAAAAATCCAACAATAATAAATAAATTAAGCAGCACAACCTTTTTCAATGCTGATAATAATTTAAAAAAAAGTTTATTGTCACTATATCAGCATATTAGAATGATTTCTACACTGTGACACTGAAAATTCAGATTTGCATCACAGGTATAAATTACATTAAAAAATATATTCAAATAGAAAAGTTATTTTCTATTTGCAAGACATTTTATATTAAGCAAAAATATTTCACAATATTACTTTTACTGTATTTTGTAACAAATAAATCCAGCCTTGGTGAGCATAAGATACTTTTTTTCCCTATGCAGAATGTCATTTTTTTTACACTGTGAATCTCCAGCTTGATGTGTATAGTGTACTTTCACGGTACCTCTCTCTGTCTGGGCTGGAGCCATCTTCATCAAAGCCAAGGTCTGTGGCTGTGTCGATATTCATATTCAGCACTGGGTTTGCTCTGTGGAATATCAGACAATCTCATACACCAGCCTGCTGCTGAATGGCCAGTTCAAACTGATATTACACTGGGCCAGCATTTTTGGTAGCTTGTTATTTCTGTCTCACCCTTCTTTGGTGTATTTGTTGGTTCCAGGAACAACAGGCCCGGTCTTCTGGTTCTGTATGACCACTGTGGCTGCTGAGTTCATGGCTTTGGCTGCCTTCAGTTTCCTCTTGTAACTGAAGGGTAAAAGAGACCAATACCGTAAAGTTGTAGATGGAGTAACTCCTGCGTGTCCGTGTGTGTGTGTGTGGGGGGGTGAGGGTATTGTATAATGCTGGCTCCATGCATAATGTTGGAAACAGGTCTGACAGACGGGATCATTCAAGTTCTCTGCATAGTGCATTCACCCTACATGAGCTTCAATGTCTTCCTGTCCAACTTCAGAGGCATGACTGCTAATTTTAGCAACATACATTTTACAATCTGGCATTAAAGTTTCTCAAAAGGTGAAATATAAACAAATGGTATACATCAGAGACTGATAAGTTGTAGGGCTGTCACTTTTTATTCGATATTCGAATATGCATTCGAACATGACGTGAAATATCCGTAATCGAACTATAAATAAACTAACCGGTTTTTAAAATGCCATGTTTAGCGCATTTTTTACAGTCTATGATTTAGACCGTTTTTTTTTATTTTTTATTATTGTTTGCCATCTCATCCAGTAGCTGGCACTCTAAACGTATTGTAGCGTAAGCTCATGACCAAATCAAGCGAATAATAGCCAATAGCCACCCTGTTTTGAAAATGGAAGATATAACGCGCAGAACGGCCAGCCTGAGCGGACAATTTCTACCCCAACTCATCTAAAAAGTAGTGTCTGGAAATGGACAATCGATTGATGAATCCGAACACGGTGTTTACATGAACGATACATAAAGTAATGTGCGCGTTATATGTCACAAGATTCAAATCGGAATTGATTTTTTTGACATGCGCACACTGCACGAATATGCCGCTGTTCACGCATAACTATTCTCCTCTATTGGTTCTTTATTTGTTTTAAACAGCAGACTTAATATTTATCCGTCTCTGGTCATGATTTGGAGACGATGAGCATGATTTGCCGTGCTGCTTGTTGATCACGCAGTAAAACCCCGCGCCCAAAACCAGTCGTCTGTGGATGAGAATCTGAAACAAGCACTGGTGGGACGTTGTCCTGCTTAACTTCACAGTGAAATGAGATTTTTTTAATAACGGAACACTCATTTATATGACACTTTATTCAACAGAAAGAACAGCTCGCTACGTGCGTAAAACGTCATTGCACATGCGCAGTCCTTTTAGTTTCGGTTTTCAATCCGATCAAGTGTTTACATGTTCTCTCGATCGGATTACAAAAGGAGTAAACCATCGGATCGATTAAGGTGTTTACATGAAGGTTTTTTAGTTTTTGAGCCGTCAATCCGATTATAGGGGTCCATGCAAAGACGCGCAAATGTGTGCCAGGCACGTGTGCGCGCTCCGAGCGCGTGTTCTCCACCGCGGAGAACATCGTCAATAAAAGGAGAGCCGCACTTGATCCAGATCAAGTTGATAAATTGGTGTTTCTAGCAAACAATATTAGGAAATGAATTAGGCTAGGCTATATAGGCCTAACTCCTGCTGCTGTTTAAGTTGTCACGTTATTGTTTGTGCCGTGCTGTTCCGCTTCAGTTTTTCCCCATGTAGCGCCTAATTTTGTGATTGGCTATGCATACTGGCACTTCATATAGATTAAGTTGAAAACCTGCTGTTTAAAACATGAAGTCAAAAAAAAATTTCAGACAGGCCTGAGTCCTGTTTATGACTGTCAGACTGTTAATAAATGTGTGATCTCCGTTACGGTGTTTTTTTTTTTTTTTTTTTTTTTGGTGGGTGGGCGGGGCTCGTAGATATTCGAATATATTCGAATACATTGCTTGATATTCGATATCCGTTCGAATTTGATTTTTCTCAAAAGTGACAGCCCTAATAAGTTGTGCCAAAAGCATCATGCAAACACAACAGTGAATGTTTCTTTAACATCATTAAACTATAATGGGTGGTAATTCAGCAGTTCTTACCTTCTTCTGATACACACGAGTGAGGTGGTTGTTACAACAAGAACGATCGCCAGTGCAGCCATCAAACCAATCATGATGAATACCTCTGTCTTGACTCCTCCAGACTCAGTAATGGTTGTCGACTGTTAAGGGAATAAAAAACAAACAAAAAAAAAACCTTAATGTTTTGAACAACAATGTTGGCCTTTATGCTTAACTTTTGGAATATCATAATTCATCATGTGTTTTGAAAAGGGAAATTAGTAACCTATCATTTTAAATTACTTACAATGCCAGTAAATCCAAGCTCAGTTAGTTGGTATCCAAATTCCCTATAGACCTCCTCTGAATTCAGGATTGAGGTCACTGCATCATAGTCAAGAGCCGTGCCATTTCTGAACACAAAATATGCCTCCAAAACAGTCGTCTCTTCAGCTCTGCAAAGGACATAACAAATTCTGCTTTCACTCTATGGAAACCACGGTTATTTTTTGTATAATTTATATACTATGATAGTGTTTATAATATTTTTAATTCGCATATAAATATTTTTTAAGCTTTCACGGTACTTTTAGTTTAAGTTATTTTGATATTTCCTTATGTCATATTAATTTAGTTGTTTAATATTCCTAGTCAGCTTTATTTTTATTTCAGCTTTATAGTAATTAAGTTTTTAGTGCGTTTTTTGTTGTTGTTTTTTTCATCTAATATTTATATTTGATTTTATTTCAGTTAACAAAAACTATTTAAATAGTTTTAGTCAACAATAACAACACTGAGCAGCGTGAACATTCTTGAAAAAAGTTTCCTTTTTTGTTCCACAGAAGAAAGAAAGTCATACAGGTTTGGGAAGACATGAGAGTGAGTGAAGAATGAGATTTTTTCAGTCTATAATCTATAAATAAATAAAAAAACGGATAAAGTAATGCTGGACCAAATTATGCGATACATTTGCTTAATAACAGTGGTACTGGCAAGACAGGAAATCTACAGGTAGTTTTGAGACCCTTTGGGGGAGAAAATACGAACCGACTTGGATTCATTATTCTATGATGTACACGCCACCTGCTGGATCTTACAAATTCCAACATCGGAATGAAATGAAAAAATCCAGATATTCCTGGCGTACGTGTGTTTAGTGAGTTTCAATTTAGTTTACTGTATGTATATATGTATAAATGGGGATGTGGATGGTGGAATCTTACCGTTGAGCACGAGACTCACTTAACACATTAAAGAATTCCACCGTTGCTTTTGTAGCACTTGTCAGAATACTGAAAGAGATATATCACACACATTTATTTTTCTTTGTTAAAAAAAATATTAAATAAATAAACAAACTATAATCATGATTCATATTTCCTTACTTTCTGATTTTACCCAAATTCTCATTGACTTCAGACACAGGCGCATTAAATCTGAGACTGACTCTGTAGGAGCTGTCAACTGTGAGAAGCTGCAAAACAATGCAATTATGAATTGACCAAAACAAACAAGAGTGACTGAATGAATGAATGAATTGTAAGGGTGAAAAATCTCTACCTCAACCACAGAGGTGGAATTGAGACCATCAGGGTTAAATGCCTGCACCTCCACCACGAACTTCCCTTTTTTATTATTATCCATTGACTTCTGGGACCTGGACATTATAAAGAGGCATTTGCTTGTTTATCTTGAGTTAGTTTCTTTGTGAGTTTGCAATCACTTGTCCTCAGTGACGCGTACAGCAATACATTAGTTATTCCCTAACCAGGGACATCGCACATGTGACCATTTCTATTTTCTGATTCGGTTTTGACTTCCTTCAACGTGGACAGACAAATAATTTGATGTTGAAAACTTGTTGCATCGCACCACATGAGGACTTACAATAAGAAATTACAAACAGGTTCCAAATGTTTAATTTCTCACCTTATATGTGTAGTGAAGATTCCTTCAGCATCTTCCTGAGCGGGAGAGTCAGCCGAAAGAAACATTTCTGAGGAATTCCCTTCACTGCCGATAAAGTCCACCCTGGTAACTTTAAAGTTGGTTTTCCTGTTCTTTTCATCCGTGTCTCTGTCTTTGGCCTGAATAGGAAATAAACACAGGGAACATACTTTATGGAGACTTAGAGACATTGCATTCTGACTTAAACAATTACATAACAGTGGATAAATGTATATTACAGTACAAAGATTGACAGATATAAAGAGACCTCAAATTGTCAAGTAAACTATCACACTTACATAAACTCTGGCGACAGATGTGCCCTGCTCTACTTTTTCAATGACTACAACTGGAGAAGCAGAAATATGTTAAAAAACTTTTTGAAAGCATAATATAGATTTACTTAGTATACATGTATGCTTTAATTCACTTCAAAACAAGGTCACGATGACATTTTTAAAAATTAATAATTTTTTTACCATAGAATTCCTGCGAGGCAATAAACTCTGGGGCGTTGTCATTGATATCCACAATATTAACAGTCACAATCCCTATAAGCAGGTAAACCATATTTTATGAATATTTAATGCACTCAATATTAAAGGTACTGGTCAATATGAGAGAGGAGATGGGGAAAATATATAAAAAAAAAACATTAAAATGCGATATGTTAAACTTGAAGGAATAGTGCACCTAAAAAAATAATTCATCCTCATGTTGTTTGAGTCCTGTATTTTTAGGGTTCAAAGTTTGAGTGCCACATAACCAATCATGACATGGCAAGTTTGAATATATATGTGGCTAGAAATTGAATTTAAAAGCAAAATGGAGCAAAAATTGGAAAGTTATCATCCCATTTTTTTTCTATGGAAAACACCTGCTGTGCTCCATGGAATAAAGAAAATTATACAATCTAGATCATTTTGAAGATGAGCTATTCCTTTAACAACAAAACATACTATTAAAAAAAAACAATGCTGGAAAGAAAGACAGCACATTTTTAAGACAGTAAGAAGCAACCGAACACACCTTCAGTACTGTTCTTCCCCTTCTCAGTTAGAAGATCCTCCACCATGGCAGTCAAGAACACTTTATCACATTTCTCGTAGTCAATATCATAACTACTAATCGCTTTCACATCACCGTTACGCTCAACTTTGAACCACTCTTCTGGACACGGCCCTCTGGTGCCATTGCACTGGCATTCAGTAGAAATAAGCTCATATTCTAGAAGGTGTTTGGTGTCCACATCTGTGCCTTCGATTGTTTTCAGAGTCTCTGGCAATTTGCTGTTCTCATTTACATTCAGGGTCATGCCGGATGGGAATACAGGCGGAGTGTCGTTAACATCGTCCACTATCACTTGCACTTCAATTGTAGCCTTTCGTTGACCCAAGTCTGAGGCCTCCACCTTCAGATTGAAAGTCTTGCGGTCACTTTCGTAGTCCAGCTCAACGGCAGGATCCACCGTGATGTTGCCTCTGTAACCTTCACTGAGCGGCTCAGAAAATAATATGAAACTCCCAAAACTGCCATCAGTGATGCTGAAAATGATGCGGTTATTCAGGTCCGTTTGGTCGGCGTCGCGAGCCAGCAGAGAGCCAACCAAAATGCCTAAAAGGGACAACAAGAAGTGTCGGTTTTCACAAGATATTTTGCAAATCATGTAGGTATTGTAAATAATTTTATAGATATGGAAATAATTACTAAATAAATGTAAATAAATGTATTCAGAAAAAGCACAACAATCTACTTGCCTCCTTCACTTTCCTTTACATGAAAGGGTTTGGGAGCAGGATCCAGGTACTGTGGAGAATTGTCATTGACATCCTGGGAAAAATAGAAAGAAAAAGAAAATAAGTTAATTAATTATATATATATTTCTAAATCTATTTTAAAAACTGCATTTAAATACATTATAAATATATGCAAAGATATAAACATTTAAATTGCGAAGTCACATCCATAAAATGGTCAAATTCAGCTAAACTAAATTTGTTTTGCGGGGGCACTTGCATGAAGTACCATAGTTACATCTCTAACTGTATAAATGCCGGATTCTCACCTCAATGTTGATGGTCACATTGGCTGATGAGGAGAGGGATGGTGTGCCCATGTCTGAAGCGAGCACCGTCAATTCAATCACACCCTTTAGAAGAGGGTCCATGGCTTCAAGGTCCAACTGACCATCGTTTTTAAGCAAACCAGTGTCCGGGTCTATGGTGAAGTTACTACTGAAAAAGCTGTCCTTAATGTGATACTGGATTTTGCTGTTTAGTGTATTTGGTTTATCTCCGTCTATAGCCTATCAAAAATTCAAAAATAGGTCTTAGAAAATAAGGAGACTTCTATTACATGGTAGTTACATGGATAAAAATGTCATACAGAACATTCACACAATTTGTTTTCATCATTTGAAATGTCTACGCTGCTTTTTCAATCATAGTTACATCCATAAAGTCACCTTGATTTGAAGCTCCAAATTGTTGTTCTCTTTTACATAGGCCTCATAAACTTCTCTGTTCATCTCCGGTTTCTGATCATTAATATCCATAATGTCGATCATCACAACAATGCTACCAATATTGCCATTTGAATCTAAGGCCTGCAGGGTGGGTGAGTAGGAATTGGTGCCTTCCCAGTCAAGACGTCCTCCATTTTTTACATAGATAGTTCCATTATTTTCATAGACATCAAATAATGACCGACTGAAGTCAATTTGAGAAGTAAAAAATAGAAAAAAACATTTAAGGTCATCGTTATATTTCTTATGCTCCAGTATGATTTAAACACATTTAACCCTGAACAGTCACATATTTAGCTAGAAACTTGCACTAAGTAACTGAATAGTTTTGGCTTAACCAAATGATATCAGACTGAATATTCAACATACATGCTTTCTGGGATCAATCTGTAAGTGATTTTGCCATCATCCAAGGCATCGGCATCTGTTGCCTGTGTCAAAGCAGAACATTAGGGAGTGCAAGATACAATTTTACTCACCACGACAAGATAAAAGTAAAAAAGAAAGTGCACTTACAGTAATGGTAGCCACAAAAGTTCCATCTTCACAGTGTTCATTAACATCTGCATTATAAACCTCCTCCTCAAACGAAGGAAAGTTGTCATTTTTATCATTGATGTTAATGGTGACAGAGGCCGTGGAGGTGAAGTCTGCACTGGCATCTTTAGCAATAATCTGGGAAGATATAATAAAGCATAAAAAGTGCATTTTATTATCTTTTTGATTCAACAGTTGTTTTTTGATTGGTGAAGTACATAGTTTTTCTATTACAAAGAGGTTTTCTGAACACTATCCCTGTTTGACTATGTTTAGGAAAATTGATAGTCTCATCCTAAACTTGCGGCATTGGTTGAAGTTAATTTAGAGGAACTAACATTTTTGACAAAATATGGACAGCTATTTTTTTATTATTATTTTGACTTCACCAATGAAAATAGTTCAGTTAAGATGTTGTGAACCATAGAAGTGAAATTCAAAGCAGTGAACACAGAAACTGAAACATCCAATGCTGTGATACAACATTTTCTCTTCAAATAATGTACATTATTCTACTTGCATAAAATTAATTGTTGTTGTTTTATGGCTAGTTACAGACATAATTGCCATGCAGTTTAAAATAATCAAACATTTCCTGGTTTCCAAGTAGATGCGATTAGCTTGAAACATGCTCTTCAATATCTGTAATCACTCTAAAAGTAATTGATCTTAAGTAGGCAAAGTCCTTTTCACTAAGCTGGGATAATTCTGGCATCTTCCGAAGTAACAGGCTGGTTATCTTATTTCTTATATATATATCCAGAGACACACCTTCAAATACATACCTGAACATACATCACTGTCTTCTTTTCAAAATCAACCTCATCAGGATCTTTTATTGTCACTTGTACAAAACTGTCTCCCAACCCAGAGCTGGGACTGACGAGGAACGCATCCTTATCGGGTCCAGCAAGTTCGAGAATAAACCTGCTGTTTTGCCCCTGGATCATAAATAAGTTAAACATCAACAAATATAACAACGTAATAGTCATCATTTCAATAAAAAAAAAAAAAAAAAAAAACACAAAATCTCCCCAGAGGAAACCATCCAAGTGTTGTAACTACAAACCTGGTCTGGATCTTTGACTCTTATATTCAGGTCATTTACTGCCAGTCCTACAGATGAATGCTCATCGACCTTGCCTGTGAAGCTGTTTTTCTGTGTGCAGGTTTCACTCTCACACTCATAAAATTCAGGGCCATTGTCATTGATGTCGCCAATAGAAATCTGTAAATCTGATACTGTGCTCGCAATAACTCCATCCACATTAGGGTGTGTCTCACGTGCCTGAAGTACAGGAAGAAATAAATAAGCAAAAAATAAAAAAGTGCAGTTCATAGAAATCAAAGAATGTATTTTTATTTTATTTTATTTATTTATTTTGATAGGGACAAAGCATGTTAATGAACATTTGTACAGAATACAAGATGTAAACAAGCCGGATTATAGCAGTATTGCTAATTTACGTCCGTAGTCCCTAGGCAGGTACACACAATAACAAATACTCACTATACACAAGACTCAACTAAAAAACACAATACACATCACAACAATTACTAAGAAAAATGTTTACACACTTGATTTTTTATAAGCCACTTCTTAAGATATTCTTTAAAAGTGTGATAAGTAGAACATTGTCGTATTGACTGTGGCAAACTATTAAAATATTTGCTCCCTATCACTGATAAAACTTTCTGGCCAAAGGATGTTCGCCTATTTGGTACTTTCCAGTCCCCTCTACTGACAGACCTGGTAGCAATCTGCCCTCTGTTTAATAAACTCTTTCAGTGGAGGTGGAGCAAGGCCATGCCAGAGCTTATAAACAAAGCACGCAGAATTAAAATGTTTAAAATTGTCAAAACTCAATACTGAGTTTTTTTTTAATTGTGATAGGTACTTACATTTTAAAGTTAAAAGTATATAGTGCTATTGGTTTGCCATCAAATAGAAATCACTCTGATATCATAATAACAGGATACAATCAAATTCAGTAGTCAGTAAACTCACATTTATGTGCAGTACTACAGTAGTATCTATGTCCAGTAACTCCTCACGGTCAAATTTAGTTTTGACAGATATTTCACCAGTCTCAGTGATTTGGAACAGATCTGGTGCATTAGTTTCTGTGTAAAAGGACAAAATAATAGAGACAAAAAGTAAATTAATTTTACAAGAAAAAGCGGTGTCCAAAACTACTTATTATATCTCAATGATGGGTAATAGAGTGAATAGAGTATTTGTACAAATTTAGAGGCAAAATATAAAGTTCATATTTCAAAGTTCAAGCGCATCTTTAAAATAGAATTTCCAGCTGACTCACTTTCAATGCTGTAGCGGATCACGTCGTTGACCCCAGTGTCTGGATCTCTGGCTTTCACAGTAAAGACTGACGTACCCTGAGATGGAGCAGCATATGGTGAGAGGGTCAAAGGTGAGAGGTCATATATATATACTGTATATATATATATATATATATTACACCAGTGGATCTCAGATGTTTTGCTTTGTGATCCAGATTTTACATTAGACATCAAGCGTACAAACACAGCACCAAAACTGTTTAGCTTACACTGAAATAAATATTAAAATGTATTAATATGAACTGCTTAGTTTAACTTTTTAGGTTGAAAAGTTAAAACAAATCTTGTAAAAACCAAAGCAAAAAACAATACAGCCTGTACAAACCAATGAAACACTTGTGGGTGTGTCTTTATTTTGCAAGTTTTTTTTTTTCCATTTCATTTTATTTTATATTTTATTTTCATTTTATTATTTGCATTTAGCATTTATTTTTGCATTGTGATGTACAAATAGAGAAGTACAGCATGACAAAATAAATTTTACAACAAAAAATACACCACTCACCACATCCGAATTCTCGTCAATAGCAGCAAAGTTGGGTAAATTCAGAAACTGGGGGTTGATATCCGCCACATCTTTAACCGTTATGAATGCAAATGCTGCTGTGGATTGAACCACTTCTTCACCATGCAATAGTCCACCACCATCCTGACAAAACCAATGAACACTTACATGACACAGTAAATGTATGTAGATTTTCAGATTGCTTTTTGCTTGTTTTGCTTGTAAAACATATTTTTTATGAATCTTTTTTGATTGTCCATTTTCTACACAGATATCTTCCCTCAAATCATTTTCTAAAAACAGCCCATCACTTATCTAAATATGATGACTTCACAAATAAATACTCACAGATGCATTGATTCGTATCTGATAGAAAGGGCTTTTCTCAGTGTAGTTTAAAGTTCCCTCCAGGACAACAATTCCATTGGTCGCAGAAATTGAAAACAGGATAGCCCCTTCATTTGGTACCACCTAAGACAAACATACTGTGTTATAAATACAATTAATGTTTTAACAATTAATTAAAGTTAACAATTAACAATTAATTAAAGATGTGAGAGTGAAAATGCAATTTATGCCATGGAAGGGAACATACTTCATCAATTTTGTAGTACACTACAGAAGCTTGGCCAAAATCAATATCTGTGGCGCTGGCTCTGAACAGTTGACTGCCCGTAGCTACATTCTGAAGGAGAGAATAGGAAAACATCATGTATATGGAAAAAAATAAACTGACACACATTGTCAATTTCTTGAATATCACTTTTTGCTCAGAGACAAAGAGAATTAAAGAGAGTTAAATTGGAGAAGATTAGACAGAATTAGTCCAGCTCACATTCCCACAAGATCAACACCATCACAGCTTGTAAACCTCAACTCCTCTTAAACGATTAGATTCAGTCAGCATTTGAACTAAACTCGTTTGACTTTCTTCTGCAGAAGATGCAGAAATTCTACTTGTCACTCATTCAGTTAATTATGTTGTCTGAAACTTTCAAGCTTCAAAGTGGACTCAATTGCACCATAAAAATATCATAAAAGAGGTCTATACGATGTCAGTCTTCTGTCATTCAGAATTAAATTTGTCGTTTTACACTTATTTGGATAAAGTGAGTTGTTTACTTCTGCATGCAAGTTGGACTCGAGAATAGGAGGATTTGTGAATGAACCACGGATCAACCAGATCTAGTTCACAAAATAGTGATTCTTTCAAACCAGTGGCAGACGTATTTAATAATAGGCGTTGTGCAATATTGGGTTATATAATATTGTACTGTCTAGAAAATAAACCATATTGATATTTTGTTTATTTGGCTTTCAGATTTTACCAATTATAATAAGACTTGAATGGCAAGACTGTTATGCAATATGATGCTGATATAATACATTTGAATGAATAACGAGAAAATAAATAATTACATTTTTAAATATTGTTTAATGAAAAAAAAAAAAGATTTGTAGGCTAATCTCTGGCTTTCAACCTTCAACAAATAAATTAGACTTGAATTGTAATGATTTATGACTGCTGCGTATGCCTAATAGTGATATAGGTCTAACACATTAATTAATGAAGGTAAACAAAATATAAAGATATTAATAGGATAATTAAATGTTGTATATTCTATGGCTTCCAGACTGTAGGCCTACCAGTAATCTGCAGCTAATAGAGCAATTCGCGCTGTTTTTCCGCTCAGTAAAGCACATTCCACAAACATTGCAGTCCTACTAAGTTTACTATTGATATAACACCAAATATAGAACATTTATTCACAAGAAGAACGCACTAATATACAAAAAACTGTGCAGTGCAACGTAAACTGACTGTCATAAAACTCTAACTGAGGAGCCTCACGTGATTAAGTTAGCCGTTACACTTTTTCCAATGGTAAAAGCCACAGAATCTCTCATCTCCCAATAAAAAGACAATCCCTGCCCCAAGACCAGAAATATGTGGTTCAGATAGGGAGACTTCCAAAATGTTCACTGTTGGTGGTGGTGTGCATCCAGGAAGGGTTGGGAAACACTGGGATAGGCTACTCTTATGAAATCCATGAAGGAGGAAGATGTTTCAGTGTATAACAAATCAAATTTAAGCTATGCAAAATGACTACAGAAGACTTCTGAAATACAATACTCAAATCATATCGGCTGCTTTTGATTATACCCGCTTTTTGCCTTTTTTTAAAGAAAGCCGCGTTTTTTAAACACCTTTTAAACAATAGCCTACCTGTTCCGGCCAGTAGATGGGGCTGTTGTCAATCGTAAGATTTCATAATAACTGTGCACATTTTTTAACATGTTAATTTAGCGTAGGGTCTATATATTTTTGGATAAACTAAATACTAAATACAATACAATAATATATCATTGTATATATAATAAATTGTATTTATTTTTCCATCCTAAATAACGCCCCTGTTGTGGAAGACATGATGCAGAGGAGCCTAGTAAAAGTCACATTGAAGGCATGCTTGAATGAAGGAAGCAGTTACAGAATCCATTTTTACACCCATATATTACACCACAGGATACAGTTCTCATGATAAACTCACCTCTTGGACCTCTACGTTGTAGGGCAGACCATTGAATACAGGTGCGTTATCATTAGCATCGTCCACAGGAATATAAACGCTTTTTGTCACCTAAAAGGGCAGAGATCATATTAGAATACAGGAAAGTGAATTTTCTGACCATTGTAATACTTTTATATTCCCAACTTACATCCGCATAAACGCCATCATTCACCACAGCATCTATGAGTAAGAGGTCTTTTGACTGATAAAAGAAAACACAGACATTCACAAAGTTAGCCTAACGGATTGTCTTTCATGAAAAGTAATTGTAATAGAATTGTTGTGGAAATTATTCCTAATTGTTGTGCTTAATCAATAATAGAAGGCAGACCTTCTTAACTAACTATACCTCTCTGTCCAGCTGACTCTTGATCTTGACTTCACCAGTCGCTCTATTGACCTCAAAATAACTAGCGTCGGTTCCTCTGATGCCATATGTTAGAGGGTCATTATCCGGATCAGATGCAATAATTTGAAATGCAAAATCGCCTGTCAGGTTAATAGATCGTTGGGAAAATGTTACATTCAGGCATAGAACAAATAATGCAAAATAGGATTGAGTTTAAGAGTTGAGACTGGCTGATGTACAGACCTACTTTAAGATCTTCTCTAAGGTTTACCAGAGCCATGTTAATCACAGGGACAGAATTACAATACCCTGTAGAAAACACAAATATGAACCAGCACGTGAGTCATAAGAAAGCAATTTTGTTTGAAATAACCAAGTTTTCTAATTCTTCTCTGAAAATGACAGTGAAACGAAACTTAATCACATTGGCTTCTCTCCACTCAAGACTCAGATTTGGACTTTGAGCTAGTGCAGTATAACAAGTCACATCTTATTGAAAGATGAAATGGACACTGACTAATTCTCAGATACTCACCAGAAGCTAAAAAACTGAAAAGGAGAAGTAAAGGTGTCCCCATCCTCCCCATGTCTGTGACTGTCTATATAAAGCTGTAATATCAAAGAAACGAAACACAAAATCACGCAAAACATTTCCACCTCTAAAATTATAGAAGATAGAACTTTGATCATTTTGCTATAGTGGTTTATTTTTCAAATGTTATGAAACAAAAAGAAAGCACAAGACCTAATACTTTATAGTAACAAAACTGTAATAACAAAGTATTTAATAGTAAAAAAATCTGTCTTTTAAAAAAAAAATTGCGGGACTTACATTTCAAGCCCTGGAATGGTTGAATATCATAACATACTTTCACAGATTTTTCATTTAGAATACCAATAACTAAATTAAAAAACAAATTATTAAGTTTTTTAAATCTCAAATATTTCTCTTTGACCATGAGATTAGATTTGTCAAGACAATCAAAATTGAATTAAATCTCAGTACAAACCCATCATTCATGAAAAAGTAATCTATGCGAATTAAGGTTTATTCCGGATACAGGCTATTGTTCTAAACGGCAGTAACTGAATATAAATAGATATAATAAGAGAAAATGATATGGCTGATGAAGACTTACCGTGCCCAATCTGCTTTTATAGTCCTATTCCGACAAGTGGCGTTCTTCAAAATGAGGGAACAATATATAATATATGAGACCTTTGTCTAGTGCATCACTGGCTATTACTGTCCTTCAGTTGTAAACATTAATCATTAACAACGCTGGGGAGAAAAGCCTGCGTGCTTAAGGCGGTCTTCGCACCCTGTAGACAGATGATAAAGCTGCTTAGTGGCACCACACAGAATCAGATCCTAAAACAGTGTTCAGAGAATGGTTTAGCGGAGCAGCAAGTCTGAGTAGGCAAACAAATGTCACAACAGATTATGTCTAGAATAATCCAGTCCATTCACACATTAATTCAGCAACTCCTGAGCAAACTCAAAGACACGAGATTAATGAAGGCTGCAAAATAACTGGAGCATTTTTATTATACCTGATTAGATGAGATCATAAAAGCTATAAGAAACCAGAGGACAAGAACATGGCACCTAGTGAAGTTATAGGGCATCTGTTTCCTAACCCAACTACTGAACCATGCGTCCTCAGATCCAGGTTTTCTTTTCTGGCTCTTTCTTGGCATCACCCCAGTGAGCTGGACATAAATGTGGTGTGAGAGATTCCAGGGAGCAAATGAGTTCATTAGCTATTCAAGAACCTCCCTAACTCTCTGCCCGGCTCTAATGAGCCCACTTCCCTCGTGGGCCTTCATAATTACCGAGAGAAAGACAAAAGATAACTCTCCCCTGGGAGAATCTTTACCGCTTCCAAGCAAAAACAATGGAGGAACTTTCTCCTGGGACTGACAGAAAAAGCTTGTGTTTGTTTGTCTCTAATTGTTTGGTGTTTACCACACTGGACATGCTGTGCAATGAGGGATCAAACTAAACCCACTCGAGCCCTGAAGATCAACTAATCCTATAGTAAATTAATTCTAAGCAGCAAGCAGCATATGCTCTATTTTGACTTTATACCACTGACATATACAAATCATTTAAATAGATTCAGTGCTTTATACAATAGTATATAGTTCTGTATCACTGAATAAAATATTATGCTTTGTATGAAAATATTATTTATTTCTTCACTTACGCACACACACAAACACACACACAGACACACACACGCACGCGCGCGCACACACACAATGTTGTGTTTTCATGTTTTATGGGGACTTTCCATAAACAAAAGGATTTTTGTACTGTACAAACTGTATATTCTATCCCCTGCGCCTAAACCTTCCCATCACAGAAAACTTTCTGCACTTTTGTATAAAAAAAAAACATAATTTAGTCTGATTTATAGGCTGTTCCTCATGGGGACCAAACAAATGTCCCCGGCCCACACGGACAAGGATTTCGGATATTTGCCTTTTTGTGGGGACATTTTGTCCTCATAACGTAGGGTTTACCTGGACCACACACACACACACACACACACACAAAGCGTATAAAACAGGTTCAGTTGGTTTCTTGGTTCTTGACTCAATTTTAATGAACCCTTTATGCAAAAGAGGTCTATATACGAAGATATGTCTTAAAGGGATACTCCACTTTTTTTGGAAATAGGCTTATTTTACAACTCCCCCAGAGTTAAACTGTTGAGTTTTACCGTTTTTGAATCCATTAAGCCGATCTCCGGTTCTGGCGGTACCACTTTTAGCATAGCTTAGCATACATCATTGAAGTGGACAAGACCATTAGCATTTCTCAAAAAAAAATGACCAAAGAGTTTAGATATTTTTCCTATTTAAAACTTGACTCTTCTGTAGTTACATCGTGCACTAAGACCGACGGAAAATGTAAAGTTGCGATTTTCTAGGCTGATATGGCTAGGAACTATACTCTCATTCCTGCGTAGTAATCAAGAAACTTTACTGCTGTACCATTAGTGCAGCAGGCGTAATGATATGACGCAGCGCCTGAAAATAGTCCCCAGCTCGGTAACTTCGTGACCGCCTGCGCCTACTGCACTCATGGTACAGCAGTAAAGTTTCTTGATTACTACGCAGGAATGAGAGTATAGTTCCTAGCCATATCAGCCTAGAAAATCGCAACTTCACATTTTCCGTCGGTCTTAGTACACGATGTAACTACAGAAGAGTCCAGTTTTAAATAGGAAAAATATCGAAACACTTTGGTCATTTTTTTTTGTTGAGAAATGCTAATGGTCTTGTCCACTTCAATGATGTATGCTAAGCTATGCTAAAAGTGGTACCGCCAGAACCGGAGATCGGATGAATGGATTCAAAAACGGTAAAACTCAACAGTTTACCTCTGGGGGAGTTGTAAAATGAGCCTATTTCCAAAAAAAGTGGAGTATCCCTTTAAATGATTGCATAATACTTTCATGTTTAACAGGTTATTTAATTTTGTTCTGGCGATAACATTTATCTTTTCAGTGTTTATCAGTGTGTGGCCTGTGACTTTGTATTAAGTCAAAATAGAGCGAAATAGATAAATATTATACATATATATTAAGGTGATAAAAATGTATATCATGGAGGAATAAATCTGTAAACAAACAAACAAACAAATCACTATCCCAGTAGTAACTACTGCTATTTAACAAATTGCAAATGTTTGCCATTGAAGTCTATCGTTCAGGTTTCAGCTATTCATTTCTGACTTTAAAGAATGTGGGTGTGTTAGAATAGTACATTAAAATACATAAATCTCTCATAAATCTGTTTACTGGTCCTCATTTTGTAAAATGTGACCTGTTCATGCCACATGTTGCAGTACACTAATATGCCATAATCTTATCATTTTAGACTTTGGTTTATGACCTCGCACACTGACGTGAAATAGGTGAGGCCCAGTGATCATCCCATCATAAGGCACAAGTCTTTAATGATATGCACATTGTGTAATTATGCTGGGAAAAGGAATAGTGTTTACAGGCATCATGTAATAATTTTCACTGTAATAACAACATAAGTAGGTGCGATAAGTTGGTTTGATACACATGAACACTGTTTAGGTAATCATTTATAGATTGAATAGCTTTCCGTGACAATAAAATGTTTTGCTCATTTATTGCTGACAACAAGGCAGCCATCTCACTAAGCAACGGTTATGAAAAGTATGGACTAACACCCTATTATTAGACCTTGATGTTTAAGAATATACACAAAATAAATAAACAGACAATAACCCCAGACTCAAAAAATTAGACTTCAGCAGTCTATACAATAGCCTATACGATGGTGTATGATTTATAGATAGACCCTCACTATAATATAATATAGACTGTGTAAACACACATCAAATAACTTTGTAACATCTTGTTTTATGAAGAAACAATGCTAGAATTACATGATGGTGTATCGTGTGTCAATCATCTCAGCCTGCTGTTCCTCGTCTGGCTAGTAGAGGGAGACAAAGCAAAGCACATTCTAATCATAGACTGGCAATTACGTAATGTGACCCTGATTAGTTTTTCCATAATGGATGCAAGGAATCAAATTGATGATGACATATGCCTCCCTCATGATGCGAACAGCTTTAATAAGAAAATATAGCACAGGTAATAACATCATCATCGTTATGAAGTAAAAAAAAAAAAATATCCCAGGCAGCTGTCTATTTTTGTCATAGAGGATGCTCGACGAGGATTTGAGCTTTTATTAATTTTTATTCAATGTGGAGAATAGGATAATAGCACAGTCTATGCAATGACCTAACTGTAGCCCTGCAATCTTGTTAACCGAGACTTGACATTGGGAGTTCATGAGGACAAACTAGTACAGTGTTTACGGTAGAGCAAGACAACTGTGGCAAGCCATTTGAACATGTATTCCTTAGCGTATCTATTTAGTTTCTTACATTTTAAATCCATGGTTTGATTGAATAGCAAACCTCCACTTGCATTGATTGTTCATTCAATATACCTATGAAAGTGAAATTCACACATACAATCATAAAATCTCCTAGACATCATAGAGATTCAACATAGAGGAATGAAGACTATACTGCTTTTTTCCAATCAATATTTAATAAATAAGAATCCTAATAGTATCTATTACACTTTTACTATTTATTTGTTATATTCTAGTACATAATTATTAGTATCTAAGAATAACAATAACTATGTAGGATTCGATATATGGAATTTACTTGTTTGTAAATGACTGCTAACAATAAGTTAATGAATAAGTTGTGACTAATTCAGTATTTGTCAATACTTGAAATACTAGAATGTAATCAGTAGTACTAGTAATGAATAGTTAGTGACACTGAAAAAGATTATTGCACAACTGGATTATTTACAAATCAAATAGAAATATCATCACATATATCACTGTAAAAAAATTCCATCTATTTCAATTTAAAAACTTAAGTTCAGTTTCTGCCTTCAATTTTTAAGTATAATCAACTTCGAGTTAATAAATTCAATAAATCGAGTTAACTCTTGTAGAACTTGTAAAAAGTCGAAATTGCTAAATTATTTTGATGAGTTAGAGTACTATGTAAAAACATAAGTTGTGGCTTATGACTCATGACTGGCTCATGATTAATCATATCATTTTTACGGTTATTTTTAAACAACTATTTGTTTTATGAGGAATAATGCTCAAACTGCTTGCCATAAGCAAGCGGCCTCTAAATGCCCCACATAGGGGTATGCCACAAAAGCACGTAAATAGGCGGCGGATGATACTGGGTTCAACCGAGTGCATTGGTTTCTCCAAAGTCTGATGCATTCAGAGAGTGCTTGTTTTGCGCGAGATGCGAAGAGTAATGACACGTTCTGCCTTTATTCTTCGTGCGAGCTCCAGTTTGTACCTTTTTCCCAAATCAGTGGTGAAATCCACGGAATGTTCCATTAACAGGAACAGCTGAGGATCATGCCGCACCGAATATGGGAGAGATGTGAAGAATTACAAGGAGAAATGTCAGCGATTGCGATGCTCACAAATTAACAATCAGGTAACGCACGCGCCTGCGTCTTCGTGTTGATGGCGTGGATTTCCGTGGGTTTTCACGCTCTTGAATGCATCGCACATAGGTATCAGCGTGTTTTTATATCTTGTCCCCCTAAAGCCTTGAGCCCCTCCTTGTTTTGTTGCTGTAATGCTGTAATGTTTACATTGGATTGGAAGTGCACGGATGGATTGGACGCGGGTTTGCTTGTCTCGCGCTTGTCTCCGATGTGCGTGATTGTGTGCACGCGCAGCGCAGGTTTCACTAGAATCGGAATTATTTTCGCTATTTCCTCGTGAGTTAAAGATTAGGAAGGAATGTTACATTGCGGCGTTTTCTCTGCAGTGAAGCCGCACAAGAGAAAATGCTGCAAAAATGATTCTGACCAATGCGTGCTCATACGAATTAAACTCAAACATTAGCCTATTAAGAAAGAAATGGTGCACTTTGCCTTCCTAGTTCTTCTACAGTCTCATTAATGCATTGAATGGTGCATTTTCTAGATCAACTTAAGTCCATATTTTTGATGTCAGTTTGTGAACTTTAAAGTGCATTGAATAAACAAGATGTTACTCTGACCGCTTTGAGACGCTTGCATGTGATTCTGTCCGCCGGCTCGCCATTTGGCGCAAGGCTTATGTAACAGACTGGGCTGTGTCACACTGTCTCTGATGGAGGGACGGATGAGAACTGCTAGAGAGAAGAGAACACAGTTAGACTCCCCAACATAATGTTTTTTTCCCCTGCTTTTCATTTAGTGCACACAGTGATAATAACACTAATAATAAACATTGTGTTATTATTATTATTATAATACCATAATTTAAAACAATGCTTAAAATGTTTTGCAATGGTAATTTATATCTTCATCATAAATTAACTTATGTAATAAAGTCAAAAAAAGCTACTTAAACCTGAAAACTGCTGAATGTAAAGAATTTCTATTCTACTCTGATTTTCTATAGGCTACTTTTCTTTTTATAATAATAATGGTGATAATAATAAAATCAGTGTTTATATTGTAAAATAATACTGCATTTTTAAAAGAAACGTTTAACACTTAGATTTTTGCCAGATAAATTAATATTTTATTATTTTTGCCGCATAAAGTATTGTATTAATATAAATGATAATGAAAATACAGGCCTAATATTGCATTTATTATGTTGCAGTGCTTAAGTGAAATATTCCAAACATTTCTATATGAATTCCATTTCAAATTTTTCTTGATTTTGTTATTAAGCATTATAAAACATGAACATAGCCTATATAGACGGTCAGTTTAAATTCAAGAACACATTTTAGAGAACCATGAGATGGTTCAACGAGTGGAGAAAAGGACTTCCACTTGCAATAATAGTTTGTTTGGTGATGTTTATTTGACATTATTTTTTTAAAGCATCCTTTTGATCCCTTGACATGCTGTTTGAACTGCTTTAAGATTATATGTAGGCCTACCTTGTGCATTGTACTGTTTTAAAGGAATGAATTAGATGCTGTCTCACTGAATTGTAATATACAACACAACTGTGTTGCATCACTGTTGTTTGATCACTGCAACAGATCCCTTGTGACAAACAACATCCCCTTTATCTGGGACTACCCATGCAACCTCAAACTGAATGTCAGTGGCATAATAAATCATCACCGATAACATGCACTGCCTGACATGCTTATGGTTAATGTTTTGACTTCTGCACAACACAAATCAACTGATTCCATCTGTCGGATTGCAAAAAAAAAAAAAAATTGGGTTTGTTTCTTGGTTTGTCAGCGATTTTGACTTATGGATCCTCCAAAATAACTTCAAAGTGAACCATTGTGAACAAAAAAACACTCCATGTTCACTTTATTTTCACTTTTGTTAAGTTAATACATTACGCCAGCAATATAGGTTATACTATAATATTAATCTATCATGAAATCGAATTATTCTCAATAATAATAATTCTAAATATTAAAATACAGTATTGAAGTTAGCTTTTTTCTCTTGAAAAACACAATGTGAATTGTACAATGGACTGCAGCTAAACTGGACCAAAAACTAGTGTCCTGTGTTTTTAATTCAATTAACTTTTTTGGACCACTTAAAGGGGTTTGAGTTTGTTTTTAGTAAAGAGGAAGTGTGAAAACACCCTTGGTATCAGGCTGGAGCAATTGGTTGGTATCAGGCTGGAGCAATTCGACCAAACAGCAGCATCTAAAAAGTGACTGGCTGTCTGTCTATTGCGTGGTAGATTTTAGAGGAAGAAGGCGTGACTATATACAAGCACAGTAGCAGCACACAACCACCACAACAATAACGTTACTGAACAGCACCCATGTCACAGATTATACCCACTTTGAATGTATCGGATGTAATAATAATAAAGGAAACAACAACTGCACGCTATCACAAGTTTGTTGGATATAAGTTAACGGATGTTAGGCTGCGGAAGAATATGTATTTTCTCTTTCTATGCTGAAGCTCAACGTCTGTTCAACAACAAGATCAAGCTCGTGGACGTGAACTAGGAAACGGGCGATACCTCTTTTTAACCATGACTGTTTGCTAGTGTACCTGGGCGATTTGTTTTGGATTAGTCTGCAAATTCATCAAACAAGACAAACTGCATCGTTTTAGTCGCCAACAAGCAGCGCGTGGACGAGTCGGAAACTCGCGCGCCATTGAAAACAAGTAAGCTCGGTTGGTGTGATCATACTTTGGTTATTGGACACAGAGCTGTCACGTATCAGCTAAAATAAAACCGAAAACACTCTTTATATTCAAACATTGCAGACTGTCTATATGTGGCGTTCAAGCCAAACCATGTTTCTTTTGTCAGGGGTGCATCCCTGCATTTCCTGTTTAGGGCTTCATCTGCTCGGGCTATATGCTAGTGATAGCATTCAGGGCTTGGGAAGCGCATGAGATTGATTTAATTAATTTAATGTAATGCACAAACTCCGTGTAATGTTGAGAACATGTTTTAAAAGCACGAGGGCAACTGCGGATGTTTGCACGAGCTCCGCGCGCGCCTGTAAAACTTCGGCCTTGCGACTCTTTGTGCTATTGTTGATCTACTGCTGGGCCCCGGTGACAATTTTATTTGTTTTATTTATAGGAAATGTGCACCGTCCTTATGCGAAGCACGGACCATGTTTTATATCATATCCACTAAGCCCATTCAAATGATTATTTTTGTTAAAGCGAGGCACGCGAGGTTTGGTGGCGCTCCTTTGTTATTGCTTTGTCTGTGTGGGAGCACATGGCCATCCACGCTTTTGTTGTTGAAGTTACAGCTCCCCCTCTTTGTGGCAAATCAGCCCCGTCTTTCCATTAAACACTGTTTGTAAATATTTGCTGTTACTTGTTTTCTTATTTTACACATGGCATTGAACATTTAAATGTCATAGTGTGATGAGAAGTTTTGCTTGTGTGAATCATGCACACTTCACTGATTTTGTTAAGAGAAAAGTAATACAAATGTATATAAATAATATTTGAATTATTACTTCTGATGCCTTTCAGTGAGGTGTGATGTCTACTTGCCTGAAAAGGCTGGTTTTATATCATTTCTGCTCCCACCGTCTTCTAGTTTACTTCAAAGATTACACATAACGAAATCCATAAAAAAAAAATACAATACAGCTTTTTGAGGCAAATATAAGCATATTTTAATTCAATTAGTATTTCACTGTTGTTGGTTTCAAATGGAAAATGACCTATTTATTTTTTTAAACTATTCATGCTGTTTTGCTTTGAGAACACATAGGCTATGTTCTGGTCTTCACATTTTAAGTCCAGGGTCATTTTTTTAAAGGAATAATTAACCCAAAAATAGTGGTTAGCTTGTATTCTGTTTTCTTATATATTTAAGGAGACATTTTGAAGAATGTAAATGCTTCTGTTTTCCATACAACAGATGTTTATTGACCACAGCTGACTACAATAGACTGAAAATAATTTTGACTGAAAAAGTTCTCAAATGTCATTCGTTTTCTTGTGATTCAGGCTAGAACAAAAGGATCTGTGAACAAAATATAAATGCAACATCATGCAAATGGGACTTAAACTGGGTTCCCTGCATGCTAAACAATAAGTGTATCACAAGACTAATTTGCCTCATGTTTTGAAAGGCATGTTATTACAGCACCTCTCTTCTCAGTCTGTCAGTAACGCTCTGGGGTGAGCTTCAGCTTCCCAAAAGCATTGTTAGCCAACTATGGTCACAAGTTCCGTCGTTATCAGCATATTTCAACGAGTGTGTTTCCCGAAACCATAGTTCCAACGAACATTCGCAAATAGCATTGCAAAGTTGTGTGGTTGGAACCGCAGCTTTTAGAAGCATCGTTTCTTGTTTGCATGACTTAATCCTTATCTTGAGCAAAATAAACAAGCTGACATTCAGGACAATTTATATCTTTCATTTTGAATATATGCAAATTTCATTTACATCTTTTAGTTTGTCAACAGATTTAAAGCACCGTTTTTGAAGAGACAAAAGACAAAGAGATGTGTGTACGTGCTGTAGTACAAGAAGGAGCCTATGATTGAATCTGGAAATTAAGCAAAATAACTAAGAAAAAATTGAATTAGTAATTTATAGTGCAATTGGCTCACAAAAAACACTAATACTAGCCTGCGAAAAAAAAACCTATCAAGCTTACTAAAGGAAACAGTAAAAACAATAAGAACAAAGAAACTATTTACAAGCATAAGGACAAAACTACAATAAAACAAATGAACAAATTTTCAAGCACTAAATAAGGAATGCTACATAAATTGTATAAACTAATAAAATAAAGTGCATAGTCTTTACTGTGTGAATTGAATATAGCCAACATGTATTCTTATTAAAGTTACAAAAGCGACTCAGTCAGGAGGAGTGAGTGATATTCTCTTTGTCTTTTGTTGTTTTATTAACATTAATGATGACAGCAGGTTTATTAGGCTGCTGTCATTTTAAGACGCACCTCTGTTCACTTCTGTTTTTATGAAGCCCCTCCTTCCGAAAAGCACAATATGTGCTCTGATCAGTTGGCTGGACCAGTGTGTTGTGATTGGTCAACCGCTTCGAGCATATTTTAGAAATGTCGCACCACCATTACTATAACCATAAGTTTCGACATGCTACTAAAGCAACTCAATCAGGCCTCGCCCCTTATTTGCTTATACCTTGGGCGGGAATTATTTAAATGAGGGATATCGAGGTTGGAGTGGACTTTAGTTGGAGTGCTTCATAACTTTGCTGACCATAATAGATCATCTTTAATTAACTTCAGTTAAAATGCACAATAAATGACAACAAAAGATTTTTCTGTACATCATTATTCAATTCACAAAACCAATATTTCTTGTGTTTCAAACAGAGTTCCGACAATCTGAAGCTGTTAGACACAAGTGCCTCTTGCACTACTGGTTCCCCACCCCAGGCAGGTGTGACTCGTTCGTACAACGTCACAAATGCGACCATGGGAAGTAGCAGTGAGTAGGCGGCCATCAACAGCCCCCTTAAACCAGAGGAGGGTCGTCGGGGAGCCTTGCATCACCCCTCTGCACCTCAGGAGAAGGTGGGTCAGCCGTGTCATAGAGTTTGATGAAATTAGCATTCGAGCTGTACATTTTATATAAAAAAAAAAAAAAACATCTGCAGAGTGACTACTTACGTTATGTGTACGTTCATGTCCTAGTCCTCCAGTACGACGTCAGTGGGGGCAGCGAGATAGACCTGCTGTGCACACTTCCCTACATCAGGATGAGAACTTCCTCCACCCTGTCTTCTCCCAGCATCAGCAGATTTCTTTAGATGAGTCCAGGCAATATAGCCACACCAGTGCACCTCCACGCATGCTGCATACTGCCACACAGCCCCCCCAACAGAACTCCATCATGGTGGATCTTCACGAACAGGTATTAGTTCAAACGACAGTTATTCATTTAGACCATGGGTCCCACACTCACATTTTTTGGAAGCCGCTATCCAGGTGTTGTTCTCCATTAGAATAAAGTAGTAGTGATTACTCTCGAAAATTATTTGAATGAATGTTTCAACGACTCAAATATAAAGACTTATTTCTTTACTGGTGGAATCAGTGTTTTTGAACAAATTGCTTGAATGAATGTTTCAATGACAAAAACATTTTTAAGTCACTTGTCGCCATTGATACAATCAATTGACACAATCTTTATTTGAAACATCAGGTTATGTTCAAAAGTGATTTACACTATTATTTGTCATTTATTTTATTGAGGAGGAACAACCCCTTGAGATGAACCATCTCGTTTTCGAGGGGGTCCTCGAATCTAGATACAAAAACTGACCTTACAACACGTGTCAAATATGACATAAAAAACAAAACAAAACAAAAAGCAAATACACAATAAGAAAAAAACAACATACTTTACAGAAATGGTAAATACAGAAATATATAAACAAAACCAATACAAACAAGACATTCACTCATCCAAGACTCTCTAAAGGTGACGCACTCATCCCTAAACAAAGTAAACACATATAATATGTACCAAAACACACATCTAGACACAAATAAACTCATATACAGACAAAAATGTATGTACCATGCCAAAAATAGGTTACAATGACTCCAGTAAAAAAAAAAAAAAAGCAATTACATATATTCAGAAGATGTTGAGCTAGGTGATTCTTAAATATCGAAAAAGAAGTTAAAGAGCGAATTGAAATTGGAAGGTTATTCCATTCGTATGGTGCTTTATATTGAAATGCATATCTTCCTATTTCTTTATTGATCTGAGGAATGAAAAAATAAATTTGGTTATTATGACGCAAGTTATGAGATGACCTAAATGGAATTAAATACTGTTTTAAATAAGCAGGGTAATCCATATAAATACATTTAAAAATAAATTGTAACCAATGAAAACGCCTTCTATCTGGTGGGGTCAGCCAGGACAGTTGATGGTACATTTCACAATGGTGTGTTCTGATCGCTACAGCAGACATCAGTGTTTACATCTTTACAACTATACACTTTTATCCCAGTACTTCTGTGATAATGTGAATGTTTGTAACACAAAAATAATGATACTGTGTGGTTAAAAAGACTGTGAAGCTGTTTCATACCTATACATGACAACTGCTCTTTCTGGGTCAGCGGCAGGATCAATGCAGATTTGAATGTTCACTGTGACCGTACTTGTCAAAGGTTTAATGATAAAAAGGACAGAGATGAATCATTGTCATTTAGGAATAAAATCTTGTGGGTGTTTGAATCGAGATTGCGATCTTTTAACGATTAATCGTGCAGCTCTATTCCCTATATAACACGCTATTTGATGTTCACTATATAGGGAATTGAGTGAGTGACTTTGGGACACTGCAGTCAGTGCATAAACACACTTTATTTTTGCTATTTAGGCTACAATTGGCCGTTTATTTGCTTTTCAGGCCTTTAAATATAAAAATAAATAAATGTGAAAAAAGTATTAATAAATACCAACTTAAATGTATAAAAGTGTAAAAACAAATACATATTTGGCAGCTTAATAATCCTTAAGAGAACTATGGGAGAGCGTTGGATGCTAAACCAAAATTCATAGAATGAAAACTCCTATTCATAGATAAACTGGAAGTTTGAGATCCTTAATATAGACATTATCCCTCGGTTTCACAGACAAGGCTTAAGCCTAGTTCCAGACTAAAATGCATGCTTGAGTTAAAAAATATGTCAGTGCCATTGTTTTGTTTCAAGATTCACACCAGTAATGTTTAAGGCACGTTTATAAAATCACCTATCTACTATCCTAATTGAACTAAGGTCTAATCCTGGCTTAATCCAAGCCTTGTCTGTGAAAGTGTATTTACTCTGATCAGATTGCTGTGATATTGCTGATATCAGATGATTGCTGTGATAATGAAAATCAGAGATCGTGGTTGTTTTTTAACAAGTAACCTGAACTTTTTGTGTTGTCCTTCCAAGATGCATCAAGGATCAGTTCCGATATCTTACACAGTTACCACGGTGACGACCCACGGTTTTCCCATCCACACCGGGCAACCTATCCCAGCCTGCAATGCTCAGCAGCTCCCAGCATGCTCGGTAATGTTCAGCGGACAGCTCTCTCTGCTCTGCTGCCTTCCTCCTCCAGTGAGTTTGAAAAGGAAGAGCTGGAATGTCAGTGAAGTTTGTGTAGAGCACACCTAACATGTCCCATCGCTCCAGCTTTACTTTAGCCGATGTATGTGTGTCCCAGGCAGCCATTATGCCCACCTGTCCTGCTAGCCAAAGATGTTCGATTATGAGTGTTGTTCTGTACGTCCCACTCATGCTTACACATTAGACATTGATATAAATCTACATTGCACGTTTTGATTTTCCTGTAGGCTTTTCCTGTGTCTCTAGAATGATTAATGACCTTTTTATGATGCAACTTTCAAGGGACAATGTGCAACCCCCTTAGTTTTTGTTTGCATTGTCACTGCAAATGTCTTTGGGGTATTTGATCTTTAATGACAAAGGTGTTCTTTCTGCTAATTTTACCATCTTCTTAAGTCATTGCATTTGTGTCAACATACCCACCTCTGTACTACTTTTTATGTGGCTATAGTGATGTACAGTTGAAAGTCTCTTATATTGTGCCGAGGACAATTGTTTTTCAGTCCTCTTTACTGAAATGCTTAATGAAATTATATAAACTAAGGCTTATATATTATTTTCTAAGTTTTCCCCGTCATTAACCCTAATCCTTTTGAAATGGTTTAGCGGATTTCTAAATAGTACAGAGTAGGGAAAGTGTTAGATATGCTTTAGTCCAGAGTATGTTAGCATGTTGAATACAGCAATGCGGTATTCAATTGCCCATCCTCACTTTCTTCACGAGTGTATCTATGGTGTGAGTGACCCTTTTGTTGTCTGGTGTCTCTCTGTCTGTCTGTCTGCAGCTCATTCAGGCCTGCACCATGCAGCACCTGCCAGTGTCCTATCAGGCATTTCCACCAATGATCTCCAGTGAGCATTTTATCCTTCACCCTAGTCCGCCAGTGCCGCCTCACCAGCCTCCTCATCTGCCTCCACTCAACCAGTTTGTTCCCATACAGCCCCAGCACCCGCGCATGGTGAGTGCAGACCACAACATCTATGAATGCTACTAAATGAAAGAGAACTATTATTATTGTCCTTTTAAAGTAACACTATGTAGTTTTTCAACTTTCATAATATATTTCCAAGACCCTTGTGATGGTACATCGACTTAAAATAGGTTAAATGACACGCCTGCCATAGCCTGACGTGGTCTGTATCGCTTTTACTTGCACTATGTAACTTCGAGTTTCGGGTAGTAACCCGAGCACAAAAAGAACTACAAAACTCGACTGCTTTACGGCATACGTCACTTCCCCCACCACTTCCTCAAATTGTCTGTGGCCTGGGAGTCTCCCGTATATTGATATAGTCTCCCTGATGCCCGCAAATTAGTTCAAATCTCCCGGAATCTAGAGCGCGCATGCGAGACAGAACATACTGCGCGCATAACAATACATAGCGCGAGCACGGCAGAGAGGGAGAGAGCGAGAGACCTTGCGAGTGTGCCTCACGAAAGCTAGTCAACCCGTGACAATCCAGTCACCAAGATATGCCTCCCTGAAATGACTTCTTGCAGGTTGGGATGTCTGCCATTGTTGATTCCAAAGCCGGTGCTGGATAAACAGCGAGCGTGCGACCGTAGGCTGCAGAAGGCTAAATTATTTACGACAGCAGTAATGGACAATTCTGCTTCCAACCTGCAGGGCGACCGCTGAGGAAAAGTTACTTGGTGTTGCTTTAATGCAAATTAAAGTGTAAGAAGTTTATATATAATATTCTTAAAATAGCAGTGTAATTTTAACACATTATTATTAAGAAAGGTATTTTTTGATTGCTGTTATCTTGGACAGCAGGGTGGCCGTTGGCTGATATAAAGCTATATGTAATAGTTATATAGTATGTGATAGATGTAATGATAGTAAATAATAACACCTGCAGGACAAGTTAGGGCTGCACGATATTTGAAAAAAAGTGCAATATTTAGTTTTTCTGCAATATGAAAACAATTTCACCAGATTTGAATAGCTGTATTTGTAAAGAAAGAAAAATTCTAGGATGATTGGGGTGATTTTGTAGGGTAGTGCATCTGCATAGAAAACAATAAACAAATTACAAGTATAGATAATTAGAACAAATATACAAATGAAATAAGCAGTGCTTTGTTTTTCAGTGTTTTGTAGGCCTAAATCTAACAGTATTCAGGGACAGAAATTGAATAATCAAATGTAAAATGTTGTCTTCGCTGTATAAATTTAATTTAATTCATTAATAAAATTTATATTTTTTAAAGCTACAAAAGTGATTTTCTCTTTTGTTTGATTTACATTAGTGACACAAATATCTGCGGGCATATTAGGCTGCTGTCACCTTAAGACGAATGCACAGATCCAATATAATGATACACATTCGTTTTCTTTCTCAATTGTTTACAACATAACCGATTGTGTTTACGAGGATACTCTCCGAGACAGGCATTTTGACTTAATTTTGCGTTCATTTGTCCGTTCAAGCTCAAAAAGGAGAGAAATAGAACTGAAATTTTGTGCATTTCAAATAAGTTACATTGACAACATGACCAAAATCTTCATGGTGCGAATAATTTTATATTACTGTAGCTGTAAATGTAGTAATGGAGTTATATTTTCTGGTAATTCAACACTAAATGTTTTGTTACATATTTATGGAGTAGTAGTAGTGCTATTTTGTATATAAAAATGCAATTAATTTAATTTGATGAGTTTCCTTCTTGATAAATACAAACTAAAAGATACACTTACTTTTAATGAGCTTATTTTTAATCTGCCTTTAATGCAAAAACATATTTACATTGTTACACCTGAGAGTTACATCAAAACATACAGTTACAGTTAAAAACATAACTCAAAACTGTAAATGTGATTATAAATGGGATTGGATGAGCCATGTTTGAAGGTTGCCATGTTGTTCCCAATGTTGAGCATACACACTGTAATCTAGTGTGTGATGTGATTACTGTTACAGTGTAATTAGTAAAACAAACCCATCACAATCTAGAGACAACAGTTAGTCATTGGTAACAGATAAGCCAATGGATTGTACCCTTTAATAAATGATATAAAAACAATGCTGAATGTTGGTGTGACAAAATGTATCCTTTGTAAAATAGCATATAGTTTTATGGTATTAATTGTCATAATCTTATGCTACAGGTATGTTTTTTTTCTTTCTTTCTGGTTGTGCAATGTCTTTTACATGTGTGTATTCAGCCTCTGCAGAGGGTGGAGAATGAAGTGGATCTGCGAGGAGACCAGCATCCGTTAGGAACATTCTCTTATCCTCCAGCCCACCATCCACCAGCAATGACCCCCTCCGTCCCCCTTCAGTACCTCCCCCAGGAGCCTCTCCATCAAGAGCTACCCTACGGAGTGGTGAGATGTCTTTGCTTCTGTATGTCAACAAAGCATAAATCGCAGTAAACAAGTCAAAAATGAAATACTGATTTAAATGAGGAGCATTTGCATAAACGACACTTATTGTGATGACATTATGCAAAATGTCTGTGGATTAGGGCTGTGGATTTAATGCATTAATTTAATTAATTAGTCATGAAAAAAAAAAAAACGCAGACCTACGTAGTCATCTGACATTTCATACAGTTGATTGGTGACGGACATGAAGCAGGGCAACAACTCACTGTGATGGAGCCTATAGAATGGAGTTAGAATGTCACTAAAATTCAAGATATTGGGTTTTTGTCTCATATTTATATCATATGATATAGTAGAAATGCTGCCAAAGTAGCTTTGGATAAAGTTGGTTGGTAAATGAAAAATACTGATTTAAATGGTTTTCCTCATGTCTCCATTTCCTCAGCCATATCCGCACATGCTGCCGAGGCGTATAACTGGACAGAGGTACCGATTACAGCAGCCTCTGCCTCCCCCGCCTCCTCCACCGCCCTACTACCCCGGCTTCTTACCATACTTCCTGTGAGGGTCTTCTACTGTTTATAATACAAATCAAACACATTTTGCCATATTAATTGTTTCATATTCTAATAATGGACATTGTAAGCTTATAATCAGTGTTGGGGAAAGTTAATTGTAAAAGTAAGGCCTTACAATAATTTAGTCTGTTCCCTCACACACAAGAGTGTGCATGTCTCTAAGTTATAGAGGAGAGTGAAGGGTTGGTCAAAATCCCTTGCCTCTTCAAATACATCTATAATCATATATCCTTTTGAATGGTTATATACTTCCTTTATAAAAATCAATAATCAAATATATTCATTCTTCATATCTGGTTCTGGGTCTTTGACTGTATACCCCTTACAGTTAAGGTGAAGAGAGAATTTTAATTCAGGTTTGTTTTTTTGTTTAGTTATATTTTATTGGATAAGACAGTCAAGGAGAGACAGGAGGAGAGAGGGTCACATGATTGGGAAAGGAACACTAGCCGGGACTCGAAATTCGGGTCGCTGCCCACAAGACTATGGCTCCGACTAGTTTAAAAAAAATGTTTGAGCAAGTTAATTAAACTGCAAAGTAATTTACATTTCTTTCTTTTTAAAACGTAACTTGAATGTTAATGTGTACATTTATTAAGGAACGAGTTACTTTACATGTTATATCAAAAAAGTAATCTGATTACCTAATGCACGTTTCTTGTAATGTGTTACTCTCAATGCTGCTTATAATTATATGAAGCCTTTGTGATATTTCTTTGCTAGAGTGAAAGAAAAGCCATTGAGTTTATGCTAATGATTTGTGATGCTAATGTGTTTGTGACCTGAAACAGCTCGATGCTACCTGTGCCTCAAACTGCTGTGGGTCCTGCTATCAGTCTGGACTTGGATGTAGATGATGTGGAGATGGAAAACTATGAGGTAAATGAGAATCCTCACATGCCCCAACCACTGATGGTTTTTATGTTAGGCCTAGTGAACTGCCTCGCTGTCTACTGATTGTATAAGCAGCTGGCTAACTTCTAATAGTTTATACATACTCATTTGCAACGATCAAGCAACTTTTTTCATTTTCAATAAGAGTGACTCTGTGGGCAATGTGCAGTGATGCGACAAAGTTGAGAAAAGGTTAACTTTTTTAGTTACGTTATAGAATTAAAGCTCATTTTGGAACAGAGATAACATCGTTATCTTATCACAGTTTGTGTGGAGAGTTTGAACACGTGTGATTTTTCTCTCAGGCGTTATTAAACCTTGCTGAGAGACTCGGAGAAGCGAAACCTCGAGGACTAACGAAAGCTGATATAGAGCAACTTCCGTCCTACAGGTTCAATTTAGAAAACCACCAATCTGAGCAAACTCTGTAAGTGTTTTCTGTTATATATGCCCTCTGTTATATAATCTTGAAGTTTTGATTGTGACCTGGTATTGATGTTCCTTTGACTTTTCTTACAGGTGTGTTGTATGCTTTAGTGATTTTGAGTCAAGGCAGCTACTTCGAGTATTACCCTGCAACCACGAATTTCATGCAAAATGTGTAGACAAGTGGTTAAAGGTAAGAAGACCATCTTAATGCACAATACCTGCATTCACTAACAGCAAAGCGCTAAGACGATGTAAATAGTAATGGTCAACGAATATAGGTTTTTAAGTGGCTGATGGCTTGTAAATTGCTTATGTACACAACCGGTCAGATGTTTGGGGTTAGTGTTATTTTTGTCTCACCAAGGCTGCATTTATTTGATCAGAAATATGGTAATAATATTAATTCAATTCAATTCAATTCAAATTTATTTGTATAGCGCTTTTCACAATACATATTGTTTCAAAGCAGCTTTACAGAAAGTGCGTAAAGCTGTAATAATATTATTACAATTTAAAACTGTTTCAATTGTTAAAACTGTTTTAACATATTTAAAAATGTATTCCTGTGATGGCAAAGCTGTCTTTAGTGTCACATGATCCTTCAGAATCATGCTGTTTTGGTGCTCGGGTAACATTTATTATTGCTATCAATCTGAGAACAGTTGTGCTGTTTAATATTTTATTCAAACCAGGATCCCTTGATTTAAAGAGCATTCAAAAGTTCAAAGTCTTAACGCTCACTTTTGATCAATTTAATGCATCCTTGCTGAATATGAAATTGAAATGAATTATTTTTTTCCCTACTGGCCCCAAACTTTTAAATGGTAGAAAATATTTATAATTTTTAAATCAATATCTACTCATATTTAGTAAATGTTGATTTAAGCAGGCACAGTTATTAGCTGATGCATAGATCAGGTAATGGTGTATAGAAACATCACTGGCTTGTAGAAATTAATCCGTAACATGTCTTGCAGACCAATCGCACCTGTCCAATCTGTCGAGCCGACGCGTCTGAGGTTCACCGCGATGTGGAATGAGTTCAGGTTTTTGTCCTTCACTGGAAAGCAGCACAAATCCTTGAGTGTGTTCTGTGAGTGGGGACACCTGATCTCCAGCCAAACGCAAATCTACCCCCCACCCCGCTCCCAACCCCACCTCTACAATAAGCAATCTTGGAATTTGTAAGGAACCTGTTTGACCTCTGCTGTGCGTCATTGTGTGAGTTTCATGAAAGCTACTGCCGCCTATAGCAACTTCGGAGTTCTGGAATTGTGACCTTTTTTTTTTTTGGTTCTTTTTCATCTTTCTTTTTCATTTCCCTGCCCTTGTTTTTCGCAGATTCCAAAGATAACCTGTAATACGTGTTGTGTTGGCATATTTGTTTACACAATTGAATATTCTCTAGTTGTTTGATCACAGTGCTTTAGTATCGTTAGGGACTGCGGGAGCGGGCTAAGATGATGGCGGGGGTCTTTGGTTTTTCTGTGCAATCAGACGAGTCGGTAAGACGCGGCCGCTCCGCCGGTGAACGACCATCATAGATGCATGTCTCTACAAGTGATGATGGGATGAGGGACTTGTTAATAATCCATGTTTTGCAATAATGTATTGATCATTTGAATATCTTAATCCCGATTCTCTTTTATCTGCGAATGCTGTTGTGAAGGTGTGACTTTCAGTGGTTCAAAGTTCCAAGGCCTGAGGTTAAAGAGGGAAACGTAGACAAAAAGGACTGAGAAACGACGGGCGTGAATCCATCGGGAAAACTCCCGCTGGGATTTCACCAGGGTCGTAGAGACATTGAGGAAGCTGTGGGGTTTTGGCTTTTGCTGTTTGCTGGCAAGGCCAATCTGACTGGCCCATGGGAACACAGGGACGAGGACAGCACACTGCCTCTGCCAGCTCCCACCTGGCTGCACTGCACAACCCACATCCATTCTGGACTTGCCCTCTTCATCCCGCTGCCTCTCACTCAGCTGTGTAACTCTTTCTCGGCTAGATCCAGGAGAACATCTCACGGGCCACGCGCGGACTGTTCTTTTAGACTAGCAATATTTGAATCGACGAGATCCACCGCATTTCAACCACAAGAGGAACGTCGGACGAAGGCCATGGGAAGGTCGCATTTGCCTTTACAGAATGACTTTTTGGGAAAGGGTGGAAGACTTTGCGGAAAGCAATACGTGCAATGAGTGCGAGAGGTGAACGCAACGCTTTGACCTGATTTTGGAGGACTAGGTCTTTTGTTTTTCCTCATTCGTGAGCCAAATAATCAATATACTCTCTGCCTTCTCAAGACCTTGACAAGCACAAACCTGTTACTAATCTTCAGTTCCTCTTTTAATAGTATACGTTTTTTTTTTTTAAAGTGGTGTTATTTATTTCTTCTCTCGAGAGCGTTTTTGAAGGATTCGGTTGGAATACTAAAGCATCTTTAGCGCGTTTTAGTTTGCCTCCCGTTGTCAGGTCTCAGGCCATGTTCACAGTGTCAAGTGATGTGAAAGAAAAAAAAAACATTGTATGCATAGCCTTGGTGTGAAAGGTTGCAAATTATCGTCTTGTTTTTAAGACAAAAGAATGTTGAAACCCTCTGTATTTCTAGCTACGCCCTCTCCTGTGTGCCAGTTGACTGTAGTCGTTCCACGAAGATCCCAGGCAGGATTCGAAACGGCAGAGACGGAGCGTTAGGGTCGTTTAAAGAAAAAAAAAAGATGCACTGTAAAACGCTCAACTTGTGGTTCACTCGATTCCAAAAACAAACCTGAACGTTGTTCGGGCGAAAACTATGAACTATTTGGGTATTCTTTTTTTTCCCTAAGTACTTTAATTGTAGGACTTTTAAATATATATATATATATATATATATATATATATATATTCCTGAGTCGTTTGTCCACTGAATAGTCATTGTAACTCAATAGACACACTGGCTTTCTCGGGTAAAGGGACTCTCTCATGAGAATGTGAGTATCTTGCGTTTGCGTGCCAGGTTTTAAAAAAAAAAAGCCATTGTCATGAATTTAATCCACACTTTTGATAATTAATCTATGTATACATATCTGTTCACTGGCATATATTTTGAGTATAACAAAAAAAACAAAAAAAAATATCACTCAGGGCCTCTCTGTAATTGAAAAATATAGGAAAACAGTCCATTTCAAATTGGATTGATGCCATGGAGATATATTTGGGTATTCTGGGTTGTTTTCCTCAGGCCATGCATATTTTAAGTGTAATCAACTGAACTAATATTCCTTTTTTAAATAGTGGTGAATATTATTCCATTATAAGACTGGCATGCAAAGAAAAAAAAAAGATGAAGTGACATGTTGTATCGAGTGAGAATAGGCTTTTCGTCACTGCAGCCGATCATTAGCGTATGTTACTCGAACCTGTTTTCCAGCCGTTACGTTTTTCCGTGTTCTTGTACTTGAACCACACATAAAGGTTGTAATCCCGTTGAAAAAGGTGCCACGGTGCACACTGTTCTACCTAGACCACTTCCAAGACTATTCTTACAGTGTTTGCATGATTTAAGGATTAAAAAAAGAAGAAAACAAAAGACTAATAAAAAAATTAAATCTGTATTTTCAGTGAAAGATATCAGGGGTGGGCAAGTATTTAATTGTGCACAATATGCATGCATGTCTTACCAGGTCCCAACTGGTTTTTAGGTAGATCTAGTTGGCTTTGGGTTCTGGGTGTAGGGGACTTTCTGCTCAGCTGATAACTGCCATGCACTGTACTGCACACATTTGTAATAGAACCGAATGACTAAAAGATTTTATTGTGCTTGTACTTGCAAAAGAAGAAGAAGAAGAAAAAAAAAAATCAAAAATAATAATATAGGATGTTTAAAATAACAAAGTTAAGCTTGATGCCAATGGGAAGACTTTTTGAGATGGCTCCTCCTCACCACATTTGTGCTTCTATTGTTGCCTCAGTTACTGACACACTTGCCTGGAATCTAGATAATGGAAAGCCATATAGTAAAAAGGTGCTAGATATTCTATATTTAGGTGTAATGCTACATTCACATAAGAGAATGCAATAGTTTGTTATGGGTCTCTATTCATACAGCATGCAGTGCTATTAGTACCCTCACGGAGGTCAGCAACAGTTAATAACATTATCAACAAGGGTTTCAATTAAGAAAAAAAAAAAGAAAGAAAAACTATTTAGCTTTACTTGTATGTGCTGGTAGACAGTGACCTTTTTAAAGGATAATATTATTTTACCGCCCGAGTGATCCGATTTAATACATCTGCCTTAAATGGAAGTAGTAGGAGGTTTTGTGTGGGTTAAAACAACACAGCGCTATCACTCATTCACCAAAATGGTCAGAAATATATGTACCTGTTGTACGGTTCTCTCTACCTTGAGCATCTGTAACTGTTATGGTTTAAAAATAAGTTGTTGATATACACGCAAGCACTTTTGCTTGGGGTAACCGGCTGTGGGCTATTTCTATTTTATCCTTATTTAGATTTATAAAGGAATTTTTCACAATAACCAAGATTCCTGAAGAACCTCAGTGTTACCTGTACTGAATTACTAAAAAGAAAAAGAAAAAAGGAAAAAAACAACAACCTATGAGTTATGATGATAAATAGAATCTTGTAGTCTTTCTGTGATTCAACTAATAAATAATCTCACAGCTTGTGTGGTGGAAAATTGTGTTCCAATAAGCAGCTAAATACTTTAGGATTTGTGATTTGTTGATTGCTCCATAGACGCCACTGATTGTTTACCAATGATTTCTTGCTGTGGTGGGATAGTGGATTGTTTACTGTTCTATTCTCCTCCTGGCCTTTAGGGGTCAGTCATTGCCTGAACTCCAGACTACCCAGCCAACAACACGGCCAGGGGCATGTGTTCTGTGTTAGGAAGATATTTTGCTTTGGTACTTGCACATTTACAGTTACCTCATTTTTGCCATGTTTGTATTTGGAAGAAAAAAACAATAAAAAAAAAAAATGAAATAAAAAAGCTAATATATATATATAATTATATATATATTATATATAGGAAATGGTTCTTAATGCTATAATTTTTTTCATTCCATCATTGGAATCATTATTTGTAGCAATTAACATAACTAGTTATAGTGTATTATAAATACATCTGTATACTGATTGAAATTTTTAAGATTTGTACTTTTTTTAAATGAAAGTTGCTAGTTCTGCTTTACCGAGTAGTGCAATCATATTTTTTTTAATTGTGGCTGATTGGAGAGGGTTGTTCACTAATAAATGTGTGATGTATACTCATACTACACTGACTAAAGTAATCAATGCTTTAAACGTTTTGCACAAGACATATGTGTTGCAGTTTAGTTACTTGTCTGAGGGTTTCTGTCTCTCAAAACAGTTAAAAGGTGAATCTCATAAAGAATGCCCGGGTCATATTTGCCCATATAATCAAAAGGAATATGCATGAAGAACATTATTTGGTGCAATACAAAATATTTAGACCTAGGGAAGCACAATATATTGGCATTAAATCAGTGATGGGTCAATACCTGCTGAATCATTTGCTTTAGGCAGTGTGATTGTTTCCACCCATTTTTTTCTTTAATCTAGCATCGTCTAGGGGATTTAACCCTTTAATATAAGAGAGCATACCTTCAAGAGCAGCTGTCGGTGAATTTCTATGCACTGGTGAATAAATATGATTGTTCATTCTTGGAAAAATTACCTTTATTAAAGTTACTCCCACACACACACACACACTTTCTTGATTAATACTCAAGTAATGATTTAAATTGATTGGTTATGGCTCTATGCATTCTATTATCTAACCAGTACCCCATAGATCTCTCATTTATTATTATAATCACTATTTTGATTTATTCAAACAGTATATGTTTATCTATAGCAGATTTAAAAATCAACATTTATACAATAGTTTCATTATAATGTTGGTTATAAATAAAATTATAAAATGGTTTTAAAACAAATGGTAAAGTATAGATTCATAACAACTTATTGGTCATAACATGATAAAGAAAAAAAGATTATCATTTTGGCTAAAATATCAGTTCATCCTGATTTTTTTTTTTGTTTTTGCATTGAGACATGGGCAATTTACATTCTCAATGTTGAGCACATCATTACTGTGATACTATAAATATAAATCTTCAGTCTGTACACAATTTGTTGATTCAAATCAGAATAAAGGCAGGACAAGAAATACTACCTTTTTGATTGGATGACTTCTATAGTACATGCATTTATGATTAATGGAGAAAATGTATACAATAAAAACAAAGTCACAATGCAAAAAGAAAATCTTAATGGCGTCAATGGACTCTCTTTTGATTTGGGGGTTAAATGTAACCCATCTTTTAACCAACTTTGTGAGATTCACCCTAATAGTTCAGACTCACATTGAAACAGACTTAATGCTACAAGGTAATCCGAGTTACTACCTCTCCAATTACTTTAGAAAATTGTACAATGAATGGTTTAAGCCATTATTCAGCACCATATTTTATTTTCACATACCTACAAAAATATTAAAATCGCCATGGCTTCAGGTTTGTGCAGCAGGCTGCAACGTTAAAGTTGAACAAGCTTGAACCAGAACATTGTTAGTCAAACCACAACAACATTTTAAAATGTTTAATTTAGAATTGGAAAATGACATCTTTACATGACCAGACCCATCAGATGGACGACAGGCAACATAGGCATCTATGAATTACCACAGGCACACTATGGGCAGACTTGCACTATACTCTATACAGACAAAGCCACATGGAAAGGTTGTGGCCTTTAGTTTTCTTATCTGAACTCACTTGAACCACAAGCAGCCCATCGGATCCTTTGCTGAGAACCTCTCTTTTGGTCGTTAGATGAGATACATTATATGGTCGACTTTGATTTGCATTAAAAAAAGAAAAGAAAAAAAGATAACTCTGTTGTGGCTTCCAGGCTTGTCCTTAAATATCTAAGTCATATATTTACAGGGCTGTTCACCTTGCACTCATTTTACAGAACAAAACTTCACTGCAGGGAAGGATGGTTTTTTTTTTTTTTGTTTTTTTTTAAATTCAGTAAAAGGTTTATTTCAGTGATCCCTCGTCCAGGCCATCGAACAGAAGAACAAACCGGAGGGGAGGCGGGACTTGACTCGTGAGCAGAGGGTTAGCAAAGCTAAATGTCAATCGTCTGTGAGGTCCTGCACAAAGAGGACTTCTGACCGGCTCAGACCGGCTTCCTTCAGAGTGGGGGGATTGGGCAGCTCTTCCGTCGGCAGGCAAGGCAGGACCCGGCGTGGGAAATTCGTTACTATTTGGAATTTCTCAGGGGTCTCTTTCAATGAAAACAGGAAGTCGTGTATTACCTAAAAAGGGGAAAAATACGTTTTAGCCACTGGTTTTAGTCCAAAATTTATTTTTTAATATTAGGTGGTATCTCGTAGTACAAAGACTGAGCTTTTGATGAAAACATCAACTTCAAAAAGCATCTCATGAGCCTGTTCTCCTTTTCTTCAACCACAGATGCTGTAGACGCTGATATCATACTGTTATGGTTCTCAACACTGTATAAAAGAGCAGCTGAAGGGTGTTTACCGTCAAAGACTGGCTGAAGAGGAATCTCCGTTCCACGCGAGTGTCGTTGGGCAATTTGAACACTATTTTGACACTGTCAGGGTCGTCTGAGGGCGGCTCAGGGGGAAGACACTCAGACTTGCGCTCCTTCTCTTCTTCCAGTGTCTGTCATTAGACAATCATTAGGAAGTCATTAAGTGAAATTTGTCAACCGACTAAACAGTCATCGTGAACAGTTATTCATGATGTGCAAAGAAAAAGACTGCAGGTTTTTCCTCTTTAGGTTAAAGACAAACGTAGCTGTTCACAAGTTTTTGGAATTACAACTATCCATGGACTAGGGCTGGGTAAAAAAAAAAAAAAAACGATTCTCAATGAAAATCCAATATCGATCTTGTGAAGTGATAGTCTTGATCTTCCTCTTTACTACTAGTTACAGCATAAATAAGTATGAATACAGTACAACTTACCGAATCCATATCATCTCACATGTAATCGGTCAACCAGTGTTTCAACCGCAGAAAGACGTCAATAAAACAGCTAGTAAAGAATGTCATGTAATGTTACATTTACCTCAGAAAAGCCATTCAACGTCCAAAAACTAGTTTGTCGGCTAGAAAAATCAACTCTAAAGAGGAGCATTTCACTAAATATATTAACTATATTGCATGTTTATTGTATTTTTACTTAACCTGTTCTTCAATATTTAATGCATGTTTGAATAAATCCTTCATGATTTTATGTCAGCCATTATTATTAACCATTATTATAACGTTGTTATAAAAGCTTCCTTGTGTGGAATGCAAGTAGCCTACAAATCTATTACTTTAACCTTTAATATTATAACACTGAACCTGATAAGCCCAAATTAATCTGTATCAAATTTAATTGAAATACAAATCAAATTGTGAAATTTGAGTCAACACCCAGCCCTACCATGGACAGATTAGTTCTTTTACCGTGATCAATTTAAGGGTGCTTT